TTCTGGTCCGTGTACTAGTCTGTCACATGTTTTAGCAGTCCCTATACTTAAAGTACTCGAACCTCGCCGGAAGGACCACTTTGTGACTTTGTTTCATTCCTAGGAATACGGCATGGGAATTCAGTTTGATATCATTGCTACTTGTTTGATGGTGAAACTCGTCTTGTTACCCGCAACGCTTTGACGGTTTGAAATCATGATTAGTGGTCAAGCCGACGTGGGCGAATCGCACGAATCGTAGTTGTAATATATATGGATATTTCGTGACTTTATGAAACATTGATGTACAAACATTTTTCCAAAACAATTTTCTGATTGATTTTTAACGTTATCAGGTAACCCATATTTGGAAAAAACGGAAGAAAAACGGTACAAATTCCGACGTGAACTCAGTGGTCGTGACCCTGTACGTACATGTACACTGTATGCCTCATGGCAATGTCAGAAAACTTAACATGGTTACAGTTTCATCAAAGTGTTAGATTCAAGAAAGAAAATAAAGCAAGATTTAATTTGAAAAGAAGTCAGAGGGTATTGATAATTTCGATCTCAAGAAGATAATTATTATATCCATTGTAGTCTGGGAACAAGTAACAAGCTGAGGTCAGGGGTCACTATTGCAGTAATAAGCACGCATCATTCTGATTGGTCAGATGCGAGATATTTTATGATTGAAATTTTATGAATGAAAGTAGTAGTTCAAAAATTTCTCCTAGATTTTTTCTTATTTGACGTAGAAAATTTTAAAGATATATGCGACATTACATTGAGAACGTTTTCATGTTCTATTTTATGAAGTGAAAGACACTACATGCATATAAGGAGATACTACAGTTAATAAACATTGAACCTAACACCGACATTTAAAAAATACGGATACAAATATCTGTCTAAATTTCTTTCCTACTGCAACGTATATGACAAAGTTGATGCTAGAATTTACCACATACAAGAAGTTGATAACCAGACCTATTTTAGAACCCCTTGTTATCAAATATTCCAAATGGCTTATAAATCCTAGTGTTTGTACAACAGTGAATACAACAACGATTACAACAATTGTTTTAGTAACGTTAACCTTCTCGCTCATTCTTCCATCTGTCTCGACACCCATGCGTTTACGATGAATCTGCATTCTCTTCAGTTCTTTAATTATCAGTATGTTAAAGGTCAATAATATACTTAATGGGACTGCAAAGTAAAACAAAGTGTACATCCAAACCGAGTATACTTCGACGTAAAACGAACTTTCTCCAAAGTCTGTCCATAAACAATATGTAGTTGAATTCATGCCATCACACAGTGTTTTATCTACTTCAGTGGCAAAGAAATGGGGTATGTTGTATAATACCGAACACAAGGCGTTAACGAATATGGAGACCAGCACGTTTCTCCTGCTATGTAAACAAGAATATTTAAAAGGATGACATATTGCTAAATATCTCTCAGCTGAAACGAACACGATTATATATACATTAAACATCTGTGACGTCAACATGGCGAATTTTGATGTGGCCAATCCCTGATGCCAGACAGCATTTCCCTCCAAATCTTGCAGTATCAACCCAGGTACTAATAATACAGCAGTGGTGATGAGTACAATATCGGACACAACCAAAGCACGAAGGAGCAGATTAGTCGTGGATGCCATGCCTTTACTCCAAAGAACAATGGCCGTCACAATGTTTCCGACGTAGCCAAGGAACACGGCAATAGGGATTGATATTCCATACATAGCGAAGATGTAGGAAAATGGTGTACTCGTTGAAAAAGCGTCAGAACTGTTGTCCTCGGCTATAGATCTGGAAATATTCATGAGTTTTGAAACATTGTGTATTAATCCCATGATTTTCAAGAGTTACTCAACAAGTAGATTTACATCCGTGTAACAGCAAGTAGATTTACATCCGGGTAACAACAATTAGATTTACATCCGTGTAACAACAAGTAGATTTACATCCGGTTTACATCCGTGTAACAAGAAGCAGATTTACACACTGGCATTACAACCACGTATGGTTCGGGAGCTGCGATAATGATATCAATTATTCAGTACAGAATTACCAAATGAAAATAACATTTTCGCTTGAATTAGTGAAAAATCATCACAGAAACTACACAGTGTTAAGTAGTTCGCCTATCCAGTGACACCCGTGATAAATACCGATATAAAATATGTTTGTTATTAAACGCGACACTGCCTGGTAACATATGTTAGTTTGACATCCTTGTTGTATATTAACATATAGGATTTCAGGTCTCCGATATTGTTTCATCATCCATAATTTAGTAATTACACAACTGTTTCCATGGAGTGTTCCCTGTATCAGATCACGTCATCAACGTGTGTGACAAAAAGTGTGTAACGATAAGCACATACGAGTATATTATAAAACGGATTACGCTGGGTTTGAAATTGAAACCGATCATCTGTGCACATGTACTTACACTAGGGAATGGGGTGGGTGGGCGTTGGAAGGGGAGAGACGGATTAGAGTCTGCGAGGTCTTAAATGAAAAGGTTGTTGTAAGCATTTTGTAGAAATACTTATGTCATGAGAACATGCACTACATTGTCCTATCCTACTGTACTTATAGACAGGACGAGACAATGCTATTTATCGTACCTATAAGACTGTACAAAAGACACACTTCTGAATTGCACCTTTCAATTCATTTAAAAGAAACAGTAGAGACAAATAATGAATAAAACCAAATCCTACAGCTGTTTCGTCCTTCTAGGAATCATCAGTGATGATGAGGATATAAAACTGAAAACTTAGGAGTCAACTGAGGGAAATGAAAATTGATCGACGGCAATGTCAGAATTTAATTAAAAAGCTGTACCAGCCAAATGATCATAAAAAAAATCGAAATTTCCATATGTCTGTTACTTTCAGGACAACATCAAGTGGATTTTTAACTATGCCATCGTGCGAATGAGTTGAAATGTGCCGTGCAGGTTGAAACAAACCTCTGGGACTAAATGTCCGCCTATAGTGTATATCATCTGCGAGTTCACGTAAATAAACCCAGAAGTGACATAAGATTGAAAACTGTCCATCTGGATATTTAATGATATCAGAGTTATAAGTGTTTAAAAATTTGTCATTCACAGAACGTTTTATATGTATAAAAGAATGAAGTGAATGAATATATGGTCACCGTATGGTGACTTTTAATGAATTTCACAAATATGTCTATACTTATTCATAGTGATGACGCACACGAAAGCGTGGCATTATTTTTTTTAAAGGCGAAAAGCAAATACACAAATTGTTACAAATATTTGAAAGTCTACTTATCACTGATGAGAAGTATGAGTAAGTGTTGCCAAACTCCATCAATAAACTTAGACGTGAAACATCGTCTGTTTCCTCTCTCTATATGTATTTATATATCGGAATACAACTACTTATCGTGGAGCGTTACAACGCAGATCTTTCTCAAAAATACTTATACTTTAAGATTAATTATAGATAAATACATCGATCAATCATGTGTATAATAAATTCCGTTTTTATTTTGACGGTATGCGACGTATTACGATGGCTGGATTCGGGAGTAGATAATCCGTTATAGCGTGGGACGTCATTAATTTATTAATTTATTAATTTATTATAACGACAGGAAAAATGTTTCATCGAAATATGAAGTAGAGTACAATGTTGGTAATCTTTGTGACATTTTATTTCGATTCACTGTTTCTTCGCTTCAGGTGAGCTTGTCGGTAATTTCAGTATGTCGAGAAACACGATAACTGTTACTGAAAGTGGTATTCTCGATTTTCTTGTTTTAACACTCGACACAAACAAAACTTTCGTGATCCAATCTCTAGCAGACGCATTACACAAGCATACTATCCCTTAGATGTAGCTTATACACCCAATTCAACAAAGTACATACTGTGCCAAACTGTTTCATAGTTTTGCGGCAAAAGGAGTTCATCCATACTATTGCCAATGGTTCGGCTACAAAACCAACAAAATATATAATAATGACGATGGTTGTTTTGTGAAGAATTATTCAAGTACACCATTAGAAAATGAACAATTTTTAAATAATTCAAGTAGCACAGGAAGATATTGTGCACATTAAAGGCTTCCGAAAGTGTATTATCGCGAAATTTCTTCTGCTAATTGGAATGTGAACCACGACTTCTGTCAGAAACGATGCCAAGGAGCAAGTGAAACGAGATCATGCTGCATTAGAGTCACTTTCAGAGTGGAATAAATTTATACTGTATATCATTCTTTAAAAAGAGAAAATCTTATTTTATTTTCTTAATTTTGAAGTCAAACATACAACTTATATAATGAATATATTTACTCTTACTGCTAAGGGATGCAATAATTTGCTGCCAGTCCGCTGACGTAATTACATTTTTGAAAAAGCAAATAATAATTTTTAGTGCTATTAAATTAGGGTTACAGTCTTATTGTGATACTCTTTACTCAAGCAGTTGAAGTAATGATAAAACAATTTTTGATAGATTTTGAGCCTCTTTTTAAGAACCTTTCTTTAAAATGATAAAAATATCTCGTAGTATCTCTTTGTAAAATACCAAAACCCGTTTTAAATTGACGTAACGCCATTTTCTAGTTGTGAGAGCTTTCTTTACGAAGAAAAGTAAACTCGGTGCAAATCTATAGTTGTAAATTCTGCTGTGCAATATTTAGTAGGATGTAAAAATGAGTCCAAATCAAATGCGATATATATAAGGAGGATGGTATCGTTTTAAATCACTGCATTTCTGTTTAAAACATCTTTTGGTGCTGGTTACGTGGCCTTTTTTCATATTTCCTCCGATAATTTGATTTTCTTCAGTCCCTTACTAATCTTCACAATAAGCTATAGCCTCATTGTTAAGCCTTGGAAGGACAAACGAAGCAGCTATATTATGCAGTTTAAATCAGTATTCGGTTATAATTTATTTTAATTTAAATCGTTATTGAAACGATGTATTTTGTACAATTTTGGTCCATCAGATTATTGGCATACCTATTGGAAAAAACTGCTCCCTTCTCTCGATCTGGAACAAACTGCTCCCTTCTCTCGATCGGGAACAGACTGCTCCCTTCTCTCGATCGGGGACAGACTGCTCCCTTCTCTCGATCGGGAACAAAATGCTCCCTTCTCTCGATCGGGAACAGACTGCTCCCTTCTCTCGATCGGGAACAGACTGCTCCCTTCTCTCGATCGGGAACAGACTGCTCCCTTCTCTCGATCGGGAACAGACTGCTCCCTTCTCTCGATCGGGAACAAACTGCTCCCTTCTCTCGATCGGGAACAGACTGCTCCCTTCTCTCGATCGGGAACAGACTGCTCCCTTCTCTCGATCGGGAACAGACTGCTCCCTTCTCTCGATCGGGAACAAACTGCTCCCTTCTCTCGATCGGGAACAAACTGCTCCCTTCTCTCGATCGGGAACAAACTGCTCCCTTCTCTCGATCGGGAACAAACTGCTCCCTTCTCTCGATCGGGAACAAAATGCTCCCTTCTCTCGATCGGGAACAGACTGCTCCCTTCTCTCGATCGGGAACAGACTGCTCCCTTCTCTCGATCGGGAACAGACTGCTCCCTTCTCTCGATCGGGGACAGACTGCTCCCTTCTCTCGATCGGGAACAGACTGCTCCCTTCTCTCGATCGGGAACAGAACACACTGCTCCTTCTCTGCTCCCTTCTCTCGATCGGGAACACTGCTCCTTCTCTCGATCGGGACTGCTCCCTTCTCTCGATCGGGAACAGACTGCTCCCTTCTCTCGATCGGGAACAGACTGCTCCCTTCTCTCGATCGGGGAAAGACTGCTCCCTTCTCTCGATCGACTTGGTTTTGATATGAGGCTGAATTTATCGTAGAGCTGAACAAACCAGATAAAAAGGTACTTAATTTTTCTTTTAGATAAAATGATTATCTTGTCTTTAACAAGAAATGTATCACTAATGACCATCGAAAAAACAAACCAGAATTCTACTTCTATATAATCTAGGATTTCAATTTCCCTGTAACAGATTCTCCATATCTAGAAAGCATTCCTTCGTCTCCACCCTATTCTTGAATTTGATTCGATTTTAAAAGACTTGCTCTCACTTTTCGCGCAAGATATCGACATTTACAGAAAAACTCATAACACGATGTTTCAGAAGATGCAAGTTGCTGAGAAATATGGTTGTCATAAAGTTTTCATCAGCAAAAATTATATTTTTTTCCACGATATGGAAATCGGACGAATTAAATGCTTGGTGGTTCTAATGTTATTCGTAATTGACTAAGATTTAAGTGTCGAAAAATAAGCGACACTAACCATTCTGAAACACTTGGTTCTATGCTGTTCGTACCTTTTTAGAGGGTATCCGAGTAAAGTTTCTATTGTTCATATTTGGCATTTTCGCCTTGTGTTTTTCAGTGGCCAAAGCGAAAGGACAAAATGTCAGGTGCAAGCCACCAAAATCATTGGTTGATGATGCACCTCAGTATCTGTGACAGCTGTTCAGTTTCTGTGTATCAGATTACAGCTGACACAAACCTGGATTAACTGGAGAATTCATTGTGATATCAAACAAAGGATTTTCAAAATTCACTTGTATTTGTTTTTCATACACATATGACAGAAGTTTCTCTCTGTGGTCTTAAACAGAGTTAACAGAATTATAAGTGCGCCTTGATGCTTCTGTATGTAAATATAGTTTTCATGAATGGATATTTTTCAATGCGACATAAGGGGAGTAGAGCTTCATTGTAAAAAAAGTAAACGTGTGCCCTCTGCTACGTTTGATGTGATGTGTGAAAAAGCTCACCACCTCGGCTTTTCCTGACATTTTTCAAAGATAAATGTTGTATTCCAAGATACTATCCTTGTATTTTCTGTGTTTGAGCAGGGATACAGAGCTGTCATAGACCTACCTGTTGTTCCTGTTGCCGAGGTACATACACATGATTGTTTTGATTACAATTAAGTGCGCTAGTACAGTCGGATGATCGATTTAATCAGAGTAGACGTTATGACAACTGTCCAGGTATAAGTGTATTGTCACATGTCAACATCATGGCCGATATTCACGAACTTGGTCATACGGTTTTCAGTTATCCTTGTTGGCAAACGTGGTCATTAGTGCAGCATATATTTTTTCTGAATATTGGCGTATTTAAATCATCATTATCATGTCCGACTATAGCCATCTTTTTCTTAAATCATGATTTATCTTTCGTGGGACGACGACATAGATTTAGATACACTACCAGGTGCATACACAGAGAACGATCATGATGTAACAGACAGTGAAAGTGACGATTTTTCTGCTAGTGTTGGACACAAATCAAAGGCTAGAAAGCTAGGAAAGGGCAGTTACGTTTATATTTGCCCTATCTGTGATAAATCTTTAAAGACAATTTCAGGTTTTAGAGGGCACATTTCAAAACAGCATCATAAAGACTTCAAAGCTTCAGAGCATAGATCACTCACCAGTAGGCCTAAGTCCTCAGTTCAGTTCAAGCCAAGAAGATAGTAGTAAGTCTTTTCCTGAGACATTCCAAACTGCATTGTCAAAGACATTCAATAATATAGAAAACGATCCCTTTGTGTTCCTTGATAATGTAAATTTGTCAGATTTGTGTAACTTTGTGACTGGTTCAAGTGCTGTAAAACTGTTTTCTGCCCTAGACAGCAATGAGGATATTAGCACTGAAACTACACGATTTAAGGATTATGTTACAGAAATGCGGGTTGAGGGACAGATTGTAGCTTTGTGGAACCACTATGACAACAATGGCCCACGGACAACAAATCATGTTGAGGGATGGCACAGCAAGGTCAACAAATTCTGTCAGCATGCGCACTTGAACATCTTTGCGGCTGTTCAGCTTCTGAAGAAAATTTAGGCTACCGATGAAGATGATCCAAATTTCGACCGGAGGTAAACCAAGATCAAAGAAGAGGAAATACCGCTGAAGTACTTTGACATTTTGAGAATATTCAATCCTTAAACCACACAAGAAAGTTGTACATGTGTACATTGGTGTGTAAACATTTTAAATGTACAATATTATATCATGCATATAAACATATATCAATCGTGTGTGATATAATGATTATGTACCAGAACATTTAACATATATGTATACAGTCAAACCTTAAAATATGGCACCATTGACCAAGGGACAAAATGTTCTAATAAGTACATATACATGTAGTGAATTGTACAAGGTTTGATGGACTGGTCATTACATGTAATTTGTAAATGTCCTTTATAACATGTTACAGATCTAAATCTCCAGCAGGACGCAGTTTTGCTTTTTAGAAATGAAAATACTGATAGTGTTAATCCAAATGTGGTTACCGATGAAATTCAATCAACTGCAGCACTGCTTTATTAATTGTTTGTACGTGTTGTAAGTGAAATATATGGGAGTTATATGGTAAAAAAGGTATTAGTAGTAAATACTGATATAATTTATATGTCAAGAATAACATCCCCAAAGTTTTTTTTAAAATCATCTCCCAAATTTCTTAACGGACAGGTTTCAGATTGATCATTATATCTAATAATGGGGCATTAAGTACGACATATAGGTCAAGTTAAAATTGCCGAATAAAAAAATATACCAGCTTAATCACCATAATTTTTCCTCTATACAGACAATATTATGTAATTAACAAGATAACCTACGAATTTTGGTGAAAAGGAATATACTGGCCAAATATAATGATTCTAGGCTTTTCGATATTTCAGAAGAAATTGTTTAAACGTTTTAACACATTTGACCTCAGTGACCTTGAATATAGGTCAAGTTCATTTCTTTTAGCAAACTTTGTAGGACACCATAAGAGGAACATAGTAGTAAAATATAAAGATTCTATGCCTTCCGGTATTTTGAAAGAAGTCGCTTAAATTTTTTAACACATTTGACCTCTATGACTTTGAATATGGGTCAAGGTTATTTTTTTCGCAAACTTTGTTGGGCTTCATCAAAGAAACTATCCAGCCAAATATAATGATTCTAGGCCTTCCAGTATCTTGGAAGAAGTCGTTGAAAGGTTTTCACACATTTGACCTCTGTGACCTTGAATATGGGTTAAGGTTATTTCTTTTAGCAAACTTTGTTGGGCTTCATCAAAGGAACATTCCAGCCATATATAACAATTCTAAGCCTTCCGGTATTTTGGAAGAAGTCGATTAAAGCCTTTGGGCCAAGTGAGCTAACAACCAGTACTACCTGTGTACTTGGCCAGATTGGCCATTTAATATACACAACGTAAACAAGCTTAACCGCGTTGGTAAATGTTAAGGACATACGTTTACCATATATCTATGCAGGCCATACTTATATACTTATTACACATTAGACAATTGTAAAACAGATTGATCGAGAACATTTTTCTGATTTTCTTTGAGTATTTACATCCTAAATAAGGTGGTATTCAAAGCGGAAATGAACGCTATTTTCAGCCAAGAAAAGCCGCTGGTCTCTTGATAAAATATAACGTTTCATCTGTTATGAAATGGATATCTCGCGGTCATTTTTAAGCGTATTATAGCACTTACCTATTCCTCTGTATTATACGTCCCTGGTTTGAGGATATTTGTAACAGATAGATGAAGAACTGGAATTACGCATGCGCAGACTTGCCACATATATATATACAACTCAAACTGGACAGATCTGACTGCTTCACTTGACCGATGACTCGCTCTGACCTCCGTCCAGGCCTAATACTAACTATGGACACTACTTTGGATATCATGATATCCTTCATCGTGTGGGCTTGTCTCAGCGCTACAGGTAAAATTCAATAATCCTACCTGTATCATTATTTAGATTACGATTTGTTTACATGTTGATACATGGATAAGAAAAGGGGATATGGTACTTTGGGCTTAGGGAGAGTTTGCAATGTTCTTACTTTGAATACAGAGTGTATTTCATGTATGAGAAAGTGAAATGATATGTTATACCTTGTCAGACTGTACATACGCTGTTCCCGATTTTGTATTGCTCTAGGAAATTTATTTTAGTTTTCCGCAATAAATATTGAATGTTTGGATGTGTATGTCTTTGAACGATTCAGTGTTGCGCACTCATATTGAATCAAATAAAGAGATAAAAGAATAGGATCATAATCACCAACAAAGAAATGATACATTGAATACCAGGGAAGGTGGAAACGTTGCATACAATTAAAATTTTGCGCTCGTTATCATTTCATTTCTTCTCTTGCGATTGTTTAATTAACAATAATAAACAACCCGGCAACATTAAAATGCATGAAAGTGAAAAAGAAAAAATCGTATAGGTAGGTATGTTTGTATCGGAAAAGACGAATACATAGTAGTTGTGCATACCTGCTGTGTAGAGTATATACATACCTTAATGGTCCAGGGGATGTGGTCAATGTTTACGAACAACACAGGCGGTCAGTGTTTATATAATGACCTGACCTTGAACTGACCGTTGGTCTTTCATCCAGTTACCAAACAGCCATAAGCAAAATTAAATAACATAATAGGCATGTAAATAGCCGAAAACACTACTTTAATATTAACTTTTCTCACATACTCAACAGAATCATTTCGTGGTCGCTAGATATGGATAATCCTAACTTACACGGATCAGAGAACGGCAGCTAACACGTGCACGCACTTTGAGTTTGTCTGGTCAGCACAAGGCTTGCCAAACTTGTACAATTAGGCTACGGTATCCATGTCCACAGAACAGACCAGTGTTTGAGTATTCTCGCCTCAGTGATGTCGTGTTTATTTATTGTTTTTTAGACATTGTTGATTTTTTGTTTGTTTTCAGGAGTGGCTCATAGTTATGGTTCTGACTGTGTACATGATATTCCACACGAGGTCACCTACCTACCGAGCCGTGATAACTGTACTCTGGTAAGATCTGCCAGTTCATACAATTCTGTTTTTTAATATACATTTGTTTGTGAGGGTGGTAAGTGTTAATATATAACTGTGTTAAGGTAATTTATTATAGTGTCATGACATTACACAATTGTGTACATGTTATATGTTGTGTTGCCATGACAATAAAAAAACTGTGCATAGGTAATATATTCAGCCAATATACAACTTGGTGTACAACACAAAGAATCCTACACAATGAGCGGGGATACACAAATAAAACGATCGGATGAATAACATTTTTGCAAGCATTTATGTATTATGAAATAGCGTTTTGTAAGACTGACGTTAAAACTGAAATGGCTAAATACTTTATGATTTTTTCATTGGTGACGTAACAATAAACTTGACAGCTAGAATTTTTTGACCACACAATTTCATAACGAGGGAACTTCTAGTCATAACCTACATTGCTTGGTATTATTACTCAATAAAATCACTATTGCGACATAACATTCCCCCCATAATTTTCATCAACCTGCATCTTTTGAACCCCTATGTTGCGAGTTTATCCGTTAGTTGACGACTTCCTACAAGAAAATCGTAATAATGGGAACAGGCGCTTAAATATAGGATCAACTGGGATATGTAAATACCATGGAGATGCAGGGATATTGCTGTCCAGAAATGGAAAATTCACCATAGGGAAATCCTAGCATACAGCTTGGTGGACAGCTGTCCATGTTGGTTTTGTTGTAGTATCTGAGAGGACAGATATAGCTATAAGAATTGAGAATATTGACCATTGGTGTTGTATACAATACATGAGAAGGTGTTATACGTTTTGAGGGTTGAAAACAGCTGATGATTGATAGTTGATTCTGTAACAGACATGCTAAAACAAGGTATGAATTATTTTTTATAGAATCACGTGACCTCGACAAGATTACAGAATATGCGGCAGTTGTTTCAAGACTATAATTTGGATGCCTACATCGTCACTACACAGGATGCTCATCACGTAAGTTGGCATTAGATCACCTAGTATTAAGCAATCAATATTTCCTACCTTATATACATCTTCAAATTGTTAGCAAAATAATCAATATTTTTTGTTGACGATCAATAATTTGCAAACGGCGCCTTCTTGTGCTTGAATAATGTTTTCTTTTTATATTACAGCAACAAGGAGGGTCCCCACATGATAGGCGCTTACAAGCCATATCCGGCTTTGATGGAACAATTGGTAATTCTAAAATTAACACGTGGATTCCAGTTTTTTTTCTCTGCATTTGTATGCGTACAAGATCCTTTCACAAGTTTAATTTTCTGATAGAATACCTTGGCATCTTAAAAGTGAATTAATGGTTTAGTGGGGAGTTTATTGAAGATATACCATCTGTTCACAGCTAATACCGAGAGGAAAAGGAAACGCAATTAGTAGAAAGTTTATATTGTAAATCAAATCCTTGACGTAGTAGAAAGTTTATATTGTAAATCAAATCCTTGACGTACACCCTTTAAACTTGATAATTGTGTGCATTTGAGTTAGGTCCCTATGGTACCGTATTAAAATCACTGATGCATAACTAAACTGCGCACGCCGCTTGTACAAAAGAATAAGAGACAAAAGCACGATATCTCGCACCCAGTATAAAGGATTGGTTCAAAATCTGTGTGTGCGAATCTTCAGACATATCCGTCTTGATTTCCCACATTTTAAGCATAAACAGTTCACCGTATAAAATGCCACGGCTCTCCGAAGTTGACAGGGGTAGTGCCATTGCACTTCTTATGCAAGGTACCCCGCAAAATCAGGTCGCTAATCTATTTGGAGTCTATCTATCGAACATTTGCTGTCTCATCCAAAGACTACATGCCACCGGAGGGGTTGCAGACCGTCCCCGAAGCGCTCGCCCTCGTGTGACGACGCGTCGGCAGGATAGGACAATGCGACTTTCGCACCTACGCAATCGCTTTCTGACGGCTAAGGAAACAACAATGAAAACCATTGGGCGTCATCATGTTCCAATTGATCCAAAGACAGTGCGTACTCGACTTCGTGCCTTCGGTCTAAGACCGCGGTGGCCATATGTTGGACCACAGCTTTATGCGTGGCGACGTGCCAACCGAATGCAATGGCTGAACGCACATTCCGTAAGACGCTTCCCAATGCAACGTTGGGAAAGGGTCCTGTTCTGAGATGAGTTCAGGTTTTCGCTTTACGAAGCAGACGGCCGACGTCGTGTCTATAGACGTACCCACGAGCGCTATGCAGATGCTTGCGTGATAGTGAATGACCGCTTTGGAGGAGGATCGGTCATGGAATGGGGAGGGATTGCGCATGGTATAAAAACTCGTTATTCAGGGAAATCTCACGGCCGTCCGCTATAGAGATCAAGTCCTAGCGCCGCATGTTGTTCCTCTAGTACAGCAGCGTCAACTGACGTTTCTGCAGGACAACACCCGGCCGCATGTAGCGAGGGTTTGCCGTGGTTATTTCGCAACAAACAATTTTCACACCCTAGACTGACCCCCATACAGCCCTGACCTCTCCCCAATAGAACATTTATGGGACGTGTTGAACAGAAGGATAAGACGTAGGCCGAATCCTCCAATCAACGTCGCTCAGTTGGCGTTGGCGCTGGATGAGGAATGGAATCGTATACCACCAATGAGGAGGGTTAATACCCCGATCAATTCAATGCACAAAAGAGTTGGTGCAGTTACTGCAGCTCGCGGAGGGCACACACGATATTGAAAGGTCCAGAATGCACTTCGTTTTGACTGGGGTACTCTTGAATCAACGTCAGATTTGAAAGGTTTACTTAACGTACACGAATGAAATTCACGTAGATGACAGAGATGTCAACTATCTTCCAGTTACACCGTTACACCATAATTACATTCTAAAACCCTTCTCTATTTCCCGTAGTTGACCTGGAAATTCCTAATTGCGTTTCTTTTTCCTCTTAGTATATAATATAAATATCAACTTTATTTATTCCACTTATACTAATCGCTCTTGTTAGCCAGGATGTAAGCGCACAAAGGGTTTTATTGTGGGAGGGAACCGGAGTACCCGGGGAAAACTCACATCCTTTCTGGACGAATAGGTGAAAGGCGAGTGCTTTACCACTGCCCCATCCGACCACCCTTCATTCACATTATTTAGCTGTAGTCATTGATGTCTTTCTTTTGCTGAAATAGATTGAAATGAAATTCAAAACACACAAAAAACAAAACTACTTTCAGGTGCTGCTGTTATCACACGTGAAAAAGCAGTCATTTGGACAGACGGACGTAACGTAGAGGCAGCCATGAGAATGGATTGTGGTTGGCAGATATACAGAAAAGGTACTCATGAATGCATGTCCGCAAAAATGGCAGCGGTTGTTTCGGAATACAACACGAGTTTCTATATCATAAGAAAAATATTGCTGAAGATCGTCTTCCATTCCTCGTGACGTGTGATTGTCGTTGATATGATCGCTATCAGATCTGGCCCCACTTGTATAAAACATCTCAATTTAAGATTTCCTCAAGCCCATATTTTCCTCAGCTAATATCTCCTTGAAAATATCTTGTATGAAAATTCCTCAAGGAATTTCAGAACATCCTAGCCGATGACTTCCTCCTGTTCCTTGAGAAAATTTTATACAAGCCGTTTTCGAGATATCAGCTGAGGAAAATCTCGACTTGAGGAAATCTCAAGTTGAGATGTTTTATGCAAGTGGGTCCTGCAAGCTTAAACTGAGAAATGATAAGTAAATACTTACATCTCAACATCAACACAATTCAAACTAAAATATGTCGATTTCCACAGATCGGTCACCTGTTTTACTAACTTAACGCTCTCTCTACCTTAAAACACCATTACTTATTGCGTTATGGATCGTGGTAAATGCAATATAATCCTCTTAGTCAACTTAATGAAAGTAGAAACTATTAAAAAGGGCAGTAGAAAGAAACAGTATAGTAAATGTGGAATGGCTAACAGATTAGAGGTTTTCTTCTGTATTATCAAGTACTGACTATGTCGCTGAACGCATAACCGATTTTGTCGTCATTTAATTGTAAGTACGTATTACATATCGTCATCCTAAATCACAGCAGGTCTAGTTCCTTAAATATATATTTATAAATGCTAGGTTGATTTTAACAACCTTATAATTAAATTGTGTACATATGTTTCGAAATGGCTGTAAAACATATATCAGCACTTTTATAGACTTTGTTTCTCCCTTTAAATAAACCCCTCCTCTAAAAATCAATTCTTAACTGGTCACATGTCTAATATCATTGTTCTCTTCAATACAGAAAAGTGGTCGTAAAAACTACTTGTAAAGTTTATAAATAGCCTTTAAAAATCAGTTTACAAAAAGCATTTATAAATGTAAAATAAATCTAGTTAATTTACCCTGAAGACAAAAGAAAAGAATAGATTTGGAAGTTGACAAAGTGGGCAGGTTTACTCATTCAAAGCATAATCTGGCCGTTAAATCTATGTAGACCTGACCTGATGTTTGATTTAGCAAGTTAGCAAAACTAGCTTTGGTTTCACCTTATGTTTTAATCATCGTTATCTTATGACAAAAATATTTCGTGAACATGTGGAAATTAAGTCTGACAATAACGTTTACAATATTAAAATTTGAAATAATCAGAACTTTTTTGAAAATATCAATGTATTTACATTTTCAATTCAGGGGCTAAAGGAATACCCGCACTTACATCGTGGGTCAGAACAGAACTTCGTAACGTTACTAGACCTATCATTGGCGCGTGTCCTAGTCTTATGGCGGCAGGTAAAGAAATGAACTACTGACCAAAGTTACTCTTATAATAGAAATATATATATACCTAGTTACTATCAGATCTAACGGGGAGATCAAAATCAATTTTATTTAGTTACATTTCACGCTAACGCATATAATATAAATGTACATAATATCCCGAAATATTCCATATTCTGACCCGAAGGTTGTCGGTCATTTCCATTGTCTATAGGTAGTTCTGACTACATTGATATCGATCTACTTTCCAATAGCTACAAATAACTACCACCTGCCTTCAATTGCCATTTTCGGTGAGTGAGTACTTTCCTATAAGTCTTTTATACAATCTGATTATTTTTTTTGGCACGAGCTTCAATTAGAAAGAAGATTCCGTCATTAAAAAAAATAATGTCTTTATGAAAAGTAACAGATTTTAAAATCCATTTTGAATTTAGTCTGGTGGAAGAATTTCGAACTGAGTTTTTCGAAGGAAAATATAACTATGCTGGGAATTGAAGACGACCTAGTTGGCCAGGTATGGAATTATGGCCGTCCCCCACAAATTAACGTCACAATCAACGCCCTACCGACGCGATTTGCAGGTGTGTGTATATGTAGCAACAGACATCCAAAGAAATTTCGGAAACTGCTTTCGTATCACATTTTGTTGTGAGTCTTTGTAATTTACAATGACTGAAAGGATTTGTCATTAAAATTAATAATTCGGTTGTTATTACTTTAAATTCTTTTTAAAAAACATGATCACGAAGAAAATATTTTCAATAAGTTTAATGAAGAAATTTCTATAACATCCTTTCATAATTTTATCAATAATAGGTTGCTGGGCTCACGTTCGTTATTGTGGACAATAGAGGAATAATGCAAAAAATGTATCAGCAAAAATTGAAGTAGTCCGTGTATACCTCGTGTTTCAGGTAGAAGCTGGCAAGATAAATTAAAGGATGTCCATTATGAAATGGCCAAAGCCGGTGTAGACGTATTGATAGTGTCGGACCTTGATGAGAATCCTTGTATGTTTATTAATGTAATAACGTACCAAACATTTATCTATTTAATAATTATTGTCTATGATTACATTCTTATTCTACTGAAAAAATCGCGACGGATCGCATTAATATATTTTTTATCAAATATATTATATCATATAGTTTATCCTATTATTATTATCATGGTACACATTTCGTATTAATTAGAACTGATTTTGCTCGTTTATTTAGGGTTGTTCAACCTAAGAGCCTTTTCGTTTGGATTCGATCCATTCTTCTATTCATTTGCTGTGATAGAAAGACGAACTCGTATTGCAAGGTAAACACTGATGCTGCGATGTAGAATTTCATAATGAAAATCATCTCGTGAATGACATCTCACCACACAACAATTAGAAAAAGCATAGCCAAACAATAAATTAAACTGAATCAACCCTAATTTTGATGGTTGTCTTTATAATCATACAAGGACAGAATGTGTATTGCCAGCAAGTTAACGTAGAAGTACGGACCCGTTTTATCATTCCTTGATGATAATGCACCGCTGTAAAGTTATAGATGATAAAGCCCGTTACAAAGCACCTGTCTCTATTGAAATAAGATGTTAAGGAACCGAATCAATGTAGTACAGTTCCTTTTGTAAGTGGAAGGATTAAATACAGTATTTAATATCTAATATCGCTAAGAGATAATTAATGTGTAAAACATCCACCATTGATAAATTTCTCAGGTGACGTGTCAAAAGTTTTTTAGGAAGAGAGAAGGGGGAGGAGTAGGGGAGAGTTGATTTATTATCATTATTATTTTCTTAATAATCGGAATTAACATTTCATATGTCGTCACTTTCCAGGTTATATATCATTGATCACAAGTCGATGCTTTCCCGGATGCCCTCAGACCCTGATGTTCACATCACTCTAGAACAACACCTTGATTTAGGAGAAGGACAATGTTTTATGAGAGTAGTAAGTACATCATTTAATACATGTCTTTCTGGTCGTATCTGGCTTCTTAATTGGACTATCATTTGATATAGGGTGTAAATTATTTCATTCATGCTTGAACTATTATTGACATTCATCCATATATTATATATATTCTTTTTGTTTTATAAATATCTTTATATTTGTAATATGGATTCACCGTTTAAAGAAACAACTACGACATTAGCCTTAGAAGCAGTTTAAATAAAATTCCCATTTTCCTGATAATATCTCAACGAACAAATAACAAAACCGATAACAGAGTAACGAAGTGTTCACTAATTGTTAATTTCCTACTGATAGTGGCCTCTTAAGGCTGATTGGTTACAAGGCGTTTAACCATAACAGTGTGTACGATAATTAAGTGTGCGCATGATACAATTTGTTATCATGAATTATAACGACTGAATACACATACTACATCTCAACTTTTTTCGGAATTTTCTGAAAACCAGTGGTGTTGTAACTTCTTCAATGTCTTACCAATGATCTGTAACAGTTGTTGCTCCGGTAATGACGCGGAATATTCCGAGTTAGGAAAAACGCCTGACTGAATATATGTAACACGCAAATGAATATGCCGAGTTATGAATAAAACTGCACCACACACCTGCCCCATCCTTCTAGAAGTCTTCATTTTTGCTACGACATGAAATTATAGAAATCCAGAAAAAATAAGGATATGGAAATGACATAAAAAAATACATAATCCGAATATATAAGGATACATGAAAGCGAAAGTAGGACATAATTCAATATAAAATGGATCCTAATGTAACGATTTCATTATCCATAGTTATACTTACAAAGTGTACTGGTTTAAATGGAGTCCTTAGAATCAATAGTTTCACCAATTCTGATTATATTAGTGTTAAGTTACCTCTGCTTATAACTCTCGATTTGTTTTTGTTTTTGTTTTTTTTTTATTTTAACAACCTTTGGCATGACCTATAACCATGATCACATGAGAATCATTTCCCTGAATTTAACGAGGCGACAATAAAATTTATATTTCAGTTTTGTTTCTAGACACTGGAAAAATCGTTTTGGGACAGAAAATGCAAAATACTTAAGCACATGACCCCTTTCTTTCGTAATCGTTTAAAATAACTTCTGAAAGGTCTCAGATATCGAATGATACAAAACAGAAAGTCAATCTGTAACTTCTGAATCCTTGTAAAACTGGTCAATATGATGTTGCAGAAAAAGGACAGAAAGTCCTATAGCCTTGTGTTTTCTCTTGTTTTGATTTCAAATTAATCAATTAAACATACGGCAGTTACAGTTAATATAAATACATATGTTGTATCAGATTAAGCTTTTATATTTAATGTCAAGCATTTGCGTATTTTTGTTTGTTTCTTTATGCAGACTGAAAATGGTTACACAGAAAGTTCCTATTCAGCAGAAGAATGCTCACAGAATTTCAGAGTACAGGTGAGAACGTCTACTTTTAAAAGTCTGTTAACAGCATGGTTACGTTATATGCAGTGTGTTGTGCGGTGTCTTGCTAAACATTAAAACTGTGCATTTTTATGAATGTCTTCATACTCTTATACGTAGCAATGACAGTTGAGCGTTTCTCTAAATGACGCCAATTAAGCTTGCACGACAATTGCAAATATGACGCAAGTCATGAAATCCGATACATGAGTAGTATGTATAAGTTTTTTCACAAGGCAAGACCAAAGACTCAGTGTTGTATGAAGGCATTTGTTAACTTAACTGTATCAACTACATTATGTTGATCAAGGTGTTAAAGGCATGAATAGCTTGCTGTTTCTGTACTGCGAATTATTGAAAAGAAGTTTGGAAATCTTCATTCTTTACTGTAACATTTCATATATATAATGTTTGTGGCTTTTAAATGATTTGTTTAGGTACTGGAGTACAATGTGAAGGAGGTTGTTAAAGTTTTATCAAGACTTGCATCTCTTCCGCAAATAAGGAAAGTTTGGCTATCTCCATACTGCAGCTTCGCCCTCTACTCTGCTGTTCCTGAGGTAGGTCATAACAGACATGTGAACATCGTATGTTGAAATTTAGGTAAGTTACTATCAAGAAATGAAGATAAAATAATCGAGATCATCACTCTTATCACTCCTTTTGTTTTTAAGTAAATGTTGAGGTAAACACTGATGAAAAGGGTATTTTTACTCAATATCAATTGACTTCGTAATTGTATATTTTTTCAGAATAAGATTTACCAAGACAACACGCCTGTGAGGATTCTGAAATCCATCAAAAACCCAGTAGAAATCAAAGGCATGGAAGACGCTAACGTATGTTATTCCATCATCTATCTTAAGGGAGGTACATTTATAAAATATTATCGAATTTGATATTCAAGTTTCAAAGCCAGCTTCAAATTCAAAATCGATCAGAACAAAAAGCCGATTTACAGACCGATGAAACTGAACAGGTACAATTAAAGTAGGTATTCCAGAGGAAAGGGTAAGCGTTTTTGCTTCATCAATGACACCGTGGTTAATCAAAATAATGTCAAAGTATATGCAATAGAACGGAATGGCATAGTAACGAGGATCGAGCACTTCTAGCTTCGTTTATCATTTATCAGTGATCAATCCTGATTTGCATTAAAATGCTATTCATTAGTGTTTATTTTAAATAATCGTCAACTTGCGAGCATGGATGCGTCTATTGCGCTTTAATGACAAAGTGGTGGTATCAAAGATAAATAATATCGAGATAGGTTTGAACAAAATACGTTATCAATATTTTCTGATATTACGTGTAAAGCTAGAGTTTATCGACAGAGAAAGATGCTGTATCAGATATCAATTTTATTACATATACGTTTCTGTATTTGTGTTGTATCATCACTACATATTTTTTTCTAGCTCCTGGATTCTGTTGCTGCCATTCGTTTTTTCGCTAGACTGGAAGCAGAGGTAAGTGAATGAATTCCCTTCCCACCTCTGCCTATGTAGGATACACATCACATATGGAATACCCGTGGCGGATAACAAAAAGGTACTAACATGTCAACATCATCATGATCCGAACTCAAATCCCTCAAACTAGAGCAAAATATGAACAAAAGAAAGGTTTCTACGGAAACTCCTAAAAAGTACAAGGAGAATAAGATCGTGTGTTCCGGAAGAGTAAGCGCCTTCTATTTCATCGAAAACGCCAGACATGTAAAACCTGGTCAGTCCAAGTAAATGCCATGTTCTCAAATGAGAAAAAGTATACAACGGAATCAACGGAAAAAATAACGAGCATCAAACATGTCCAGCGTCATGTCGCTCAAAGAAATGGAATATTTCTCAATGAGATCACAATGGTGACCATAGACTTCCTCGTAATTTTTATCAACCTACATCTTTTGAAACCTTATGTTACGAGTTTGTACGTCTGTCCGTCAGTTGACAACTTCTTGCAGGGAGCAGGCCCTTGAATTCGAATCAACTGCGACATGTAAACATTATATGTTGAGAATGTAGGGTATTGCTATCTAGAAATGGAAAATTCACAATAAGGAAATTGAAATCATCACGTTTAGCATACAGTGTTGATGAAAGCTGTCCAAGTTGGTTTCGTTGTAGGAAAAGATCGATATAAGCAGTTGATGTAGAAGAGTCTGTCGTGTCTTTGATTTTAATGTGTATATATGATGGACGTGGTCAATAAAGTTCTTGTTTTTTTTAGAAAGTGAAAATTAAACCATTTTGCAAGGTCTTTTTGACCTATTTTAATAAACTCTTCAATAAATTCAGCCTCGTATGAAAAATCAAAACGAGTCAGCCAACAGGAGGGCGCTACCAGATATGTTAACCTTTACAGTCACAATATGTGTAGTATTTCTTTTTTATCTCAGCGTCATATCGTCAGCGAGTTAAACGTGTAAAGAAGTTAAACAATCACTTACGAATGACATCTTTGGACTGTACATCGATGACGGTGCTACATGTTTGTCATCGCCAAAATGAATGCATGATTAAAATGCAATGCGGATGTAGTAAACTGTCCGTAGGAAATTAAATTGTTTTCAATCTACCGAAATCTCCTGCAATTTTTATTGCAAAGAAATATACATAAATAAAATTACGTGAAAGTTTGAATTTTGATATTGTGAATTTGTTATGTTTTGAATATATACGGATGTATATGTCATACCATTACTAGCCTGTTCAAAACGATCTTGTCGTCAGCAACACTTGAATCACTTGAATATGCTTGCAACGTTCTGAAAAAGAGATGGCAGTGTAAAGTAGATCGGAGATATATCTCAATATCATACAAAACCTTTTATGTATATGACAACATTAAATTTATTTGTTTCTATTTTAGAAGTATTGGATGATGTTCCAGTTTTATTTTTCATATACAAGTTCATCAAATGACTTTTCAAATGATCAAATTGTTTTCCGAATATTCAAGAACTGTATTATTCATCAGTGGGAAATACAGATATATATTTGATAAAGAAATATGTTACTTAGCAGTAAAATATTTACCAAATACATTCTTAATTCATTCATATTGATGAAGAGCAAGATGGAGAATTTTGGATCCAATTCCACTCACAACAACTGCGATATAGAATTACATGTAAGGTTTCTTTGATGTTGAAGGTGAAACAAGGGAAGAATTGGACCGTTTATGATGCTTTTCATGAGATTCTTAACTACAGGAAGTAAGTTCATGTTATGACGATCTTCCTTCTTTTTTTATATTTTATAAATCAAACCAAAGAGAATACGTGTGATAGCGATATATTTAGATATATAAATATGTCATAAGCGACAACATGTGCGAAACATTCCCTGAGGCCTCTAATAACATATCTGTTCATTGTAAATAAAACCAAAACAGAAACTAGAACCAGCTCCTGAGGTCTTTCGATTTGGATATTTTTTTGCAATTTTATTATCGTTTTGAATTGTCTGTTTAAGCAAAATTTCTTCAAGATTTAAAGTGATTGTTTTATATTGTTTTTTGTTCCTTTCAGACGAATTCCATATTTCCGCGCTCCAGCGTTTAGAACACTTACCGGAAGTGGCCCGACTGCAGCGCCAATTTATAATATGCCGACACCAGAAAATTCTCAACCAATTACATCTGAACACATCTTTATGCAAGACTCAGGAGGCCAATACCTGTAAGTAAAGGTTAAATCAAGGTTTGTAAGTTTGATGTCATTTTCCTAATTAATGCTGCCTTTCTGGTCGTTTTGAAGTCAATAAAACACATCTGTTTTATTCCCTGTTTATTTTTCTCAAAAAGTTTTGTAAATTTGTTTAAGTGATGTCTATAATTTTTTAACATCATGTTTTATATTCTGTTTTCAATATATTAAAATCATTCTGAAGAAATACAGGAACTACAGATATGACAAGGTCCTTCCACTTCGGAAAGCCGACGAAATATGAAAAGGTTCGTAGTTCATAACACATTATACCTACATATATTTACACTGTGTGTTAAGATGAATGTCCAAAGTAAACAAATACAGATATATTTGATTCATACATACATGTTTGTATATAATTACGATAATTACAGGAGATATACACCCGGGTATTGATAGGCCATATAAACTTAGCAAAACTGATCTGGCCTGAGGGACGAACAGGTATGTGATAGGAAATTTAATACCCTATTTCAACCCAACAAACATTATTATTCTTACTTATATATAACAATATATAAAAAAAAACGTATTTTTGCTTCATACAGCTTTTCAAAAGAACGCTTTATAAATGTAACACTTTTCGTGTTTCTTGTCACATTCTGGATAAGCAACATCAATACGTTTTCTCAAATAGTAAAAGAAACACACATCAAGATCATTTGTTTCAACAATGTGCTTGATTGCAAACCTTTAAAGAATCACACAGGTCTCAAACTACATCAAGAATCTGGTAAACTTGGAACCATTAAATGAAATAAAAAGACTGCTTGTGCCTTGCCAATGCTCTGAATTTGAAATGCTATAAAATGACATGACAGAAATAATATTTAATTTATTAATGAGCATTATGGGAATAGTGTCGTGATTTATAAAGGAACTGACGTATTGTGTGTTGTGTTTTTGTAATCAGGACATGACATCGACGCTACTGCGAGGGAGCCACTCTGGGAGTTAGGTCTGGACTACTCTCACGAGACAGGCCATGGCATCGGTGCTTACGGGGGTGTCATAGAAGGTCTGAACTTTAAACACATATGCATCAAGTTACATTCAATTTCAACATGCTTCAGGTTGTGGCCTTTGTTGATGATCCCTAATAGCATTGATGCTAAATATGAAGAGCTCACCATTTAAAACTACATTTAGAAGCTTATGTAAAAAATGGTTTCAAAACTAAATTTGCTATCAATGTCATTATGCTTGGCCTGCTTATTCGAAAAGAACTAAAGCGTATTTGATACAGCTGAGCAATGCTATCTAATGATCTGTAAGAACTAGTTAAAAAGATATCAGCGATGTTTGAAATGTACTTAGAAGTCAATAACAATTGTCATTATTTGTTTTCACAATACATTTCAATACGTTCCGATCACATTTCTTTTTCACAAATGTTTTATGAAAAAGTTTTCATTTTTTGTTTAGGACCTGGGCGGATATCCTCTACGTATGCTGATTTCATCAGCGACGTTCCATTCTTTGCTGCTATTTTTACAAAAGGTAACATCTTCTTATAATTTTCCATTTTTTTATTTACATAGTTAAATTTTGCATTGAACTAAGCTTAAGAAGATATATCATCTTCGTTTTACCATGCCTTAATTTATCTGACGGCGGAATATATCAGTTCAAATTAATTTCAGATGAAAATATATATAAGTTTCCTGATCCAACAGACTACCCTTTGAAGAAAAACATGTTTTTCACAGTTGGTAAGTTTGAATTATTTCTTGTCTTGTGCAACAACAATAATATTATAATCTTACCGTGTTCATTTGAAGTCCATTACATAGTATGTAGAACAATTACGACATATAATGTTTAGCTTGAAAAATAGCGTATCATTTATTATGAAAGCAGCGAGCTAAGGTATACGTATACAACATTCAAAGATCAAAGCTCACCCTCATCAATGTACCTAATACAACTGATATCAACTATACAATATCCTCGATAATGTTATTTGAATAGAGCTATAAGATTGAGAACTATGTTAAAGCTTGTTGCGAACGTTTGACCGTCGATATTTTTGTGATTTATAGTTAGTTGATATTTAAATCTCTCTGCAAGGCCGATTTTCTTTACCTTTGACTTTTACCTTTGATCTGTGGGAAATAATGCTATTATGCAGGCAGTAGCTATAATAGATTTTTCGTATCTGCTCCGATATGTAAAGCACGAATGTATTATATAAGGGATTATGTCACTTCTATGCTAGATCAACTTATTTTTCCTTTGAATATTTCATAGCAGCTTGTTTCTGTTTTATCATTAACTGTGTTATCAATGGAACATATCGCCATAAAGAATGGATGAAGTTGTGCACCCGTCAGAATTCCCCATCGACTATACTATACTATCTTCTCGACTGAATCCTGTCCTGATAACTCCTACAGTTGTTATCTCAATTTTGTGATAAAGCTGTGAGGTCGTTAAACATTGAGATGGTGCATTAGTACATTTTTGTACAAATTCGGCTGTTTTTATTGCAGTTGTGTCCCTTTTACTATGATTGCGCACTGAAACGTGTTCAGACCTTTCAACGCATTAACTTGAATTATCGGTAGGGGAAAAGGGATTGAATATGAACGACAGGACGGGGAGATGGTGAGAGTGGTTTAAGCCCAACGTCCTGCAGCTCTAGGTCAATAAAATTTCATCGAAATATTAATTTTGTTTATATTTCCCTGTGTGTACCAGATATTTGCTGGTTTCTTTGCTTTTTACAGAACCTGGTTTTTACGAAATGAATAACGTGGGTGTACGCATGGAAAACGTAATGTATATAACCTCAGCTAACCTGAAACAGGTAACTATATTTCATTATTGTGTTGTCCTTTGTAGTAAAGTAAGGGAAATGTATCCCTGTTATCATCAAATTGTTTAGAACACTGAAATAGTTTGGATTAGTACCTATGATTAGGTCAAGTGTATTATAATGACATAGCGTTGGTTATCGTTATGTCAAATTCCTATCTCGATAATAGTAAGCAACATGTTCATAAATGGTGAAAAAACATTGAATGTCCCAAACAACAAAAGATACAATGTATTGTATTATGATATTTTTCTTCTTACTTATATCAACAAAAAGATCATTTCTGTCTGTTTTCTGTTCGCAGCTTTCATCACGTTGTAAATTTCTAAGATTTGAAACGATAACACTGGTACCATACGAGCCTCACCTCATCAACTACAATATGCTGAGTCAAACACATGTACGTACTGAAATATCACTGCATTTCCACTTTCTTTACTGTCTTTACCGTTAATTTCATAGATTGAGCAATTGACTCGAAACATCAATGCCATGGACAAAAGCCAAATGTGAACTGGTAACTAGTCCGAAAGCATAATGTAGGCTCAATCATCCTTGATTCTGGCTGATGCAGTGTGTGATTATGAAAATATGTTGCAATGAAACTTGTCAAGCAATCTCTCAAGATAAACAGTAGTAAAAAAATAATTATTTTTCATATTGATTGTGCTATTTTAAGGTGACAAAAAACTTTTGATATTTGAGCTGAAATTTCGGTTTACAAATTCTTGATAAACAAGTTAATTTTTAATTCAAAATATATGTAGATAAATGATTCTATTTTGACGCATTTCTATGTCTCCTCTCACAGTTGGATTGGCTGAATGAGTACAATAGTCGAGTTTTACAGAAGACTGCTCCTATTTTGGAACGCTTTGGTGACGAAAACGCACTGGTTTGGCTGATGGCACGAGTAAATAATGTCACTAGGCAATCCATTCTCTAAGAATGAGACCCAACTGTTGTTGTCATTCCTATTGATATTGTTTGATAACAATACCAAAATTGAAAATGAGAAATCACCAATTATCGAAGTCATTAATAAAATTGTTAAATCATTGTTTGCCGTGATTGATTATATTAAATTTTATTTTTATACTTACGACTTATGATATGCCGAAAGGTCTTGTTTATTGTTATCTATCTTATTCAGAGAAAATAAAAGAAGTTAATTGATAAAGTTTCGATGCTTCCTTCTTTTATTGTTTCATCTAAAATGTAATTTATCATAAATGTCGACGACAAAAACTGGAATCACGATTGTTTACAATATTGAAAATAGGACCTTATAGATCGGGAATCTTAATCTTAAGATTTTTCTATAAATCAATGTAGGAAAGCAGAGACATATTTTATAGAGGATAGAGGAATAAGGAGATGCCTCCTGTTTCTCTAGTGAAGGAATTCATGTTAACTATAACATTCCTGTGCTATACATTATTAATCTCTCAAGATAAACAGTAGTAAAAAAATAATTAATTTTCATATTGATTGTGCTATTTTAAGGTGACAAAAAACTTTTGATATTTGTAAAACAAAAACTTATGGTTCAACTACTTACAACTGAAATACCATTCTATATTGTATACCACTTTTAGACTAATATATAGAAAATCTTACAATAGATCGAATGGAAAAGATGAGTTATTTCCGATTGCCTCGTGTTAATTTTGTGATACCCTACATTAATTTATAAATATATTTTTTGTTATGGAAATACGATTCACAACGTGATCAAGTTTATAGTATAGTTACAGTTGAATCTCATTATCTCGAACTCTTATAACTCGAATATACCCCCGCGGTCCCGCCAACCAGGTTCGAATGACTGTGCGATAATTCTGAAAAAAAAATAACCTATCGATACGTATGTCTCACGATACCCGTAGTGACTGGCAATCGTTTAAGTGTTTATGTATACTTAGTTAAGCCCCTTTATTGATATTTGATACCACCTGACCCAAAACCAAATACCGACAAACTACCTGTGAAGTACACGACTGTGATTTAAACCTTTATAGGCATACGTTATTATCGTATGCATGAACCATGTTGCAGGAATCGTGTTTCCTTTCAACAGTACTACTTTACCTGAGTTTCTTTGCTACACAAGGTAAGTGAAATGACAGGCACATTGAGTTGTTATAGGTACGCTAAGGCTGTTATGCAAATCCTGTGATACTGAAAGTATTGTATAACTGTACCTTGAGCTAATATGCGGAGGTCACTTTATCGTTACAGATACAGCACAACACCGGGATTACGTTGGGTTTATAATACGTAACTGGTAGATACACATTGAAGTTTGCTTCATCCTCATATAGTGTCATAAATAAATATCATTCAATATATACGAGTGGACAAATCAATGCATGTGCAATTTAACTAGTAACCCATGTGATTTGTGTTGAGAAACAATTTTAACAAAAGTCATAAACTGGCATTGTATCCACCATTCATTATTTAAGTTTAACTCTAATTCTATTTGTATTCAAAGGAGTTATTCACTTGAGTATCTTTTGTACAATCTTCCAAATATTAGCATTTTACTTTTCAGGAGTCCCGTGTAAATCTTTCATTTGTCCACGTTTTTCTCTAATTTTACGGAATTTGAGTTTGAATTATAATTATGCTCCATTGTTGGTAGTTGGTTCAACATAAAAATATCTTTTACGTTGAATGCATGCAATTTTACATTAGTGTCTCGCATCATAAAACGGCCAATTAAATTGTTCGCGTTCGATAAACAAAGAATGGAAGACGCATGTCAACCATACAATCTATTGTGGTAACTCGAGCAAACCATTTGCTATGTATTTGTGAATATGTTGTTTATATTTCAGGTATTCACTTAACCTTTAACCAACTTAGTGTATAACAAAGTCATGCTCGATACACATCTCTGCTTTTATGATTAATATATTCTCTATGATTTTATTTATGATCATATTTGGATTAGATCTTGATCTTGATTTTAAAATAATTTCTTTATCATAAAAAGTAGTTCGGGGGCACAATTATGGATCGGAATGCGTTCAGGACATTCCTCATAACATCGGCTTCCTTTCCCACCGAGAAAACTGTACAAGCGTATGTATTTAATTATTTTGATGAGAATTAGTTTTTTTCAATTTTCTTACATATTCTAATAAATATCCAATATTTTATCATGCTAATCTTCCCTTAAAAAAACTAAAACTTATTATCAACATATCTTGGCAATATTATTGAAAGATGCAAACACACTTAATGAATAAAGAATCCAGTATCATTTTTCTTATTTTTTTTTAGATCTGAGTGGTCTTTCATAAAGAAAACCAAAATAATCAATATATACAATTAACCATTGTATTAAATAAGGAAACACAATATTTTTTTTTCAGAACCCAGTGACGTTATCGAGGGTTGGACGACTCCGAGATATCTTTTCAGACAATGGAATCGACGCTTACATTATCAGCACGGAAGATGCTCATTTCGTAAGTATGGTCAAAACATTATTGTTTGTAATCGATATTACACTGGTTGTTTCTTTAGGAATATTACGTTTCCATTGTATCAGGTCTATGATTTATTCATAGGCTTCGTCCCACATTAAGACCCTTCACAACGGTGTTTTAACATAAGGCCAGAGCCTATTTCGTAATGCATGTAAAATATGTGTATATCGTCTATATCAATTGATGGTGGAGTCATTGTTATAACAGTGCATGGCGGTATTGTTTCTGTATTGATAATGATATTGTGCACGCATAAAATATTGGTAGCGCAGAATGAAATGTCGTTATGAATGGAACCAAGGAAGAAAATACGGTTTATATAGTTTTCCTAACGTGAGATACTCAATAACATATTAGTGTATGATTAAATTTGCCGTCCACTTTCAGATGTTATACAGAAGATTGTCGCTCCTGATGCTCTTAGGCTGAGGATAGCCATAACCCAGAAATTAAACATTTAAAAGTTACACGAAGGTTAAAATATATCTCCCCGCTATAAGAGATCAGTCATACCGATAACATATTTGAAAGTGATTATCATCGAATACTTTTGTTATATCTTATTGTGCATGTTTGGTTGACTGCTGAAATTCATCATATGGTTCCAGTAAGTTAAAGCATTAACTGTGAAGTTAAAGAATAACGGAGATACCTATGTGTAAGTCTCAAGAGCGATTTCTACTATGCTTTGTGATTTACTAAGAGAGTGTTTGAAATAGTGTTGCTTACATTGAAACGTAGCACATATGCATCCTGCTGTTATTTATATAACGGGAGTGGTTTCTGTTCGTTGTTATAGTAATAGTGATGCTAAGTGTAACTCACGTGTAATCATGACTAATTTTAGTATAATTGAGATATCAATTCCATTTGATAGGATTTACCGATGATTGAAATTATATCATAGTCGTAATCGATGAAGCAGAAGACGCTTACTCTTCCGGAACACATGTTTTATTCTCCTTGCACTTTTTAAGGTGTCTCCGAGAAATATTGCTTTTGTTCATATTTGCCTAAGTTTTTATATGTGTTTTGATGACGATTAACACGTCGTATTTTCTTGATGATTTTTATTGAAAAGAATTCACAATTCAAACGACAATATAATGCATTCTCATCGAGAAATGACAATTCCATTTGTCATGATTTAAGTGTGATTCAAAATTCAAAGGGGATTGCATTTCACTGATGTGTTATTTAGTCTTATACGTACTTGTCTCTTTAGTGCATTAAGCATGAAGTGTATCCATGGCTGTTTAAAAAAGATTTGGTGTTCAACACCTTTGACATAAATCTTATCATAATATTGAAATAATATAATATAAAAATAATTGAAGCTCCGAGGATTTCTAATGAGTAAATCACACTAAAAATACATTGTATATGATAATTTGATAGAAAGTACATCTTATAATGTAAATTAAAATGAGAAAAGTATATTACCAAAGTGAGTGATATTTCAGGTTATAGATAATGAAATTATAAATTACCTTCTGCCATAATTAAGAGACATAGTCAACAAATGTATTTTCATTGTTCACATTTGATCACAATGAAATCAAAATACAAAAAAATAAAGTTTCGTTAAGGAATAAAACAAAATTTATCAAACTGAGACTTATTCCAAAACCTGTACCAGTTATACAAGGAAATCTTAATTTCATTATGTTATGTGCAAAGAATTTTCTTTCAGCGACACAGAAGTTCACCACATGACAGTCGTCTGGCAGCAATATCTGGGTTTCCGGGCTCTATTGGTAGTGTGCTATTGATCCTCATTTATTTCCTAAATTGCTAATACAGCTTTTTTTAATTTTAATTGATTATTATCATTGTAATTAATAATTTTTGATAATTTTAACTATACACTAATCCTTTTCATATCAGCTAACAGGGGGGGGGGGGGGGTTATGATTCTTAAACAGACATTTATAAAGAATTGCAAACAAAATCTCTGCCTTTCGGCAAAATTGAGAAACTTGATCAAGATGTATGTTTGTATTGTTCACATTTGATTAACTTTGTAGTACTTTTAATTTTAATATAAAGTGAACTATGTAAAACAATAGTATTTCGGCATATATTCATCGACCGTAATTGAATTGCTTAATGCTCAGACTTAATATATTTTGTACAACTATAAGTATGCATGGTTCTGCTACATGACAGAACAAAAATTGATATACCTATATAAGGCTTCTTATTATATCTCATGCAGTATTGAACAATGGTAGAGTGTCTTACAAAAGCGAGAGATAAAAACAAACGAATAAAGAAAGCTAACAATTGGATGTAAACCCATTATTTAGTGGTCATAGTAAAAAATAGATCTTGCTTTACTGTAAAGACTTTCTTTAGGTACTTTGAAATTTAATTTGTAAAATACAATGTTTGTATTATAATATCTCTAGTAATTTTGTTTTCATTTTCGAAATACTCTACTAGGCATATTTATCTATTTATTTTATTTGTAAAATATGTATTTTGATGACATTATTATAACACCTATAATGATTTTTTTTATTTTCGAATGAATACTTATTTATTTATTCATTTATTTGTTGTTGTTATGTTTATTGCCTTCAGGTGTAGCCATTGTAACGAAGACCAGACTAGTCCTGTGGTCTGATGGACGAGCCTTCCATGCCGCAAGCGAAAGTTTAGACTGTGAATGGGAACTCTACAGAAAAGGTGAGTAAGAAACATTTTTGAATCATCAACATTGAAATGTGTAAGTTCTAAATTTTGCACAAGATCTGATAGAGATCTTGGTGTCTAATCTGTTTTAGGTGGACCGGGTGTGCCTACAATGACAACATGGATCAAACAAGAACTCAAAGATTTCGTAATTGGAGCTTGTCCTGCTTTTCTTTCATCAGGTAAAACGTTCTTTCGGTGGTCGCTAATCATGTTAATAGTTCTATCAATATACCCCAAATCAACAATTAATACAACACTGAACATTTCTGCTGTGCATGCACCCAAAATATACGATATTTCGATCTTTGTACTAAAGGATATTAATAAAATAGACAAGTTTCAATTTATTGTTCCAAGTTTGGTGGAGAAATTTGGAGATGAGCTGCTCTACTGCCGGTATTCAACTAAAGGCTTTCGAATACGACCTAGTAGAACAGGTTTGGACAGATAACCGTCCTCCTGAAAACAGCGTCACGATCAATGCCTTGCCAACGCAATTTGCAGGTAAGGTTCAGTGGCAAAGGTAACTGCTTAACATTGCTATTGACGCCGAAATAATTTATCATGAAATTGTCACGTGTGCAGTGTCTGATAAAAGAATTTCCTACATGGTAACATGCATTTGGTTCTATTCCACGAATAGGATCACGATAGAAAACTGTACAAAAATTACACAAGTGAATAAATTAGAAGTAGAAACTAAAATGTCTTTTATTATGATTATCTTCATATTTTATTATTCGCCGTTGTAAGATGATTGTCATTCAAATTCCATTTTTACATATTAAAAGGTTCTGCACAATGCTCATTCTTATTCTGATAATCTCTTAATTGAATTTCGGTCATTGATTATAAACTTCTAAAGATTGAATTCTTCTCGTCAAGCCGGACAAATAGGCTTAACTACAATGCTCCAAAATCTAGGTTCATTTGATGACATTAAAAACATTAAAGGGTATCCTGTTTACCCACATTTAAGACTACAATGCGTTTATTGGTAGCTATCCCGCGTTGCAAAATACTGATATTAATCGCAGTAGGAGAGTGAAAGAGTTCATAGCTAAATAAATGGCACTATAAAAAGTTCAACAGATCTCATTATTTGTGAAAGTTTCATACTATTTCCTCGGAAAGTCGAAAGAAAAGTCAATAAAAGCATCCTCTATGATATCGTGTAAAACAAAACAGTATCACCCAGAAGCATGTCATGTACTGCAGAAATATATTGCTAACGTTCTGACATTAATTATATTGGACGCTGGTTTTGTATACTTCAGGCAAAACCTGGCAGGACAAACTAAAAGACATGTATGTAGAAATGGAGTCGGTTGGAGTTGATGTTCTCGTTATTAGTGATCTAGACGAATGTCCATGTAAGTGTAAGATTATAAGATGTTCCGTTTTTCATAGTTGTACCAAAATGCAAATAACAGGAGAAAAATAAAGATAGGTGTAATTACTTTATGAAATCTTTTCATGGCAATGTACATATCAATTGCTGATGATAATTCTGAATGTTATGCTTTCAGGGCTGTTCAACATGAGATCATTCGAATTTGGATTTAGACCTCACTTTTTTGCATATGCCGTAATCGACAGACGATACAATAATGCCAGGTAATATGACACTAATGTGCCATATGAAATTCCGGATCTTCCAACAAATAACTTTTCAAGCAGTGTTGAACTATACTACACAATGTGTTCATTTTTTAAAGGTTATATCTGCGTGATCATGTCTCGATACTTACTCGGAAACCTTCGGATCCTCATGTCAACATAACGATCATGGAACATCTAAATACGGATGTGAACGGAAAGTGTAAACCACAAATTGAAGATGTAAGGATCAATCTTCTTCTGATATACACTAATAGAGTTCATTTTTTTTAGAAACTATTACAGTGTAACCATTATTGAGGAGATGCGTTGTTGGCTGTTGTTGGTCAGAACAGTTGTTTCTGTTTTTAGAAAGACGATGCCGATTCTGGTGCCTGTGCAGCGATAGACGACGGAGTGAAATCCTGTTCAGCAGTTACTAATACATGTCTTTCAGTAAGATTATTCTTTGCATTTCCATATTTTTTTTCTGCATATTAGAGTTGATCTTACCAATGATTTAAGCTGTCAAGTGTCCTGATTTGAACGTTGTTTTAATATCCACTATCAATTATGTTACTGAATGATGTTAAATATTGATTAACAGACTCCTTGTTAACTTTTTGTATTTCCCTTTAAAAATCCAGATTCTTGACATTTGTGTGATATATTGATACTTATCAATTCTTGATATGTCCTTTCAAAATTTTCTAGATATTGTTATCATACTATTACTGAACTCTACTATTGATTCGTGCATTGAACAATCAAACTGTACAAACATAAGATCTGTTGATGTTGGAGCACAAACTTGAGCTATGTACATATGTAACATCGTCAATTTAATTTTCTGAACAATTGTCTTTGATACATGGTATGTGAAGGCATTGTAAATTGTTTATGGAAGAGAACTGTGTATAGTTTATTGACCCATGCCACTTGAGGAGGGTTGTTTATAAAGTCACGATATCAAATATCAAATATAACATTAACTGGCGAATTTTAATAGTAAAATTACATAATAGTACAATCAGATATAGTGTTTAGTGCTAAATGTATGTAATTGATGATTTTTTTAAATATGTGGTAAAAGCTCTCGTGTTCAGTTGATGGCCCTTTCGATAACTATTGTTTGAGATTTCAACTTCTGAAGAAACAAAATCAGAAAATCAGAAGTTGATGTATAAGATATGAAGTCGGCATGTTTTAGATTTTTATTGTCTGTCATTTTTCATAACTTTATATCAAATACATAAAGTGTAATTATGCTCTAAAATAATGAGTAAATAATTGATCTTTGCAATGTAGGTACGAGAGTACAATTTACAGGACGTACTTGAAGACATCCGACATGCATCGTCGGAGCCCAACACAAGGAAAGTTTGGGTGTCAATCTATTGTAATCACGCCGTGTACTCTGCTGTTCCCAAGGTATAATGTCTACCTTTCTTTCAAACATTCACAATTATTCTAACAACACCCATACATATGACCATACAGGGCACGAAAATTGCTATTCCAGCGTACCGTGTAATAGTTTTATAGAGGTGATGTTACAATATACTATAGACATTAAGATTATTATCATTTTACATTGAAGTCGAAAATATACCAAGATTTGACACCTGTAGCCATGGCTAAGGCCTTGCGAAATCCGGTTGAAGTGAAAGGAATGATCGACTCCAATGTAAGTAAAATAACCAAAAAATACAGGAAAGAAACGAGAAAACAACATTGTGAAAATTGCACTCATTTTCCTCAGGGTCTGATAGCATATGTATAGTACATTTTAAGCTCAACAAGATTGCCATATACATTTGGTAGCTAAGTTAGTCTATGGAAATACAGAGGATTCAAATCGAATATCTATTCTTCACCAAATGAGAAAGAAATATTTGACAAGCCGGGATCCATATATTTGCAACACGAAATGTGAAAAAGAAAAGAAAAATGGACAGCGCATCTTATTTCGTCATCGCAAAACATCGCACAGTAACATGAAATAACTTGCGAAACTCTGTCTTTAAGAGGTCTTGTAGTCGGGATTGATTTGAACATGTGCCCAGATTTTACCCCCGTTTCATGACTCATATTTCGACTATTCGTGCGAGGTGTTTGATAATAGGGTTCACTGTGAAACATTTCTACGAGTGTAATCGTTTGTTTTTTTCAGTTGGTCGATTCAGCTGCAGCGATCAGATTTTTTGCAAAACTGGAAAAAGAGGTAAGAAGAATCTCTGAATAGGGAAATTATTGTTTCTTGATTCCACCTTTATTGATAAGCCACTCACAAGTCAGGAAATTAATCAGTTGTGTGTAGTTATGTTCCCGTATCGTTCCTTTCTGCATTTCATATAATTTGTCATTACATACAGATAAAGCAAGGAAAAGATTGGACAGTCTTTCAAGCATTTCACGACATCTCTAATTATAGAAAGTAAGTATACTTGATTAAAACATTTGAAATGACCAAAAGTAATAAAAACAGTTTTTTTTAAGTAAAGTGAAAGAGAAAGTAAAAATATTTATGAAAATTGAAACAAACTGAATAAATAAACAATAATAAAAATAACAAGTGGGTAGAAACTGAAAGTGTAGAAAACTTTACTTAAAACTTATGCAATAATGTATGCAATAATGCAGATGAGCACAACGCAACGTGATATTTACTACATACATGCACATTGGGAAAAAAATGGCAATGCTTACTTACAGAGAAAGTCCTTACTTCCGCTCTCCGGCCTTTAGAACCTTGACCGGAAGCGGTCCATCTGCAGCCCATTTGTACAATCTGCCAACTCGTGAGAGGTCTCGTCGGATTACGACCTCAGAAATATTTATGCAGGATACCGGCGGACAGTACCTGTAAGAAATAGCCAACCATTATAAGTAATCTTCTTTAAACATAAATAATTAGGCAACGTTTGTTTTTCATGTCTCCAGAGCTTTTAATCATTAAGCATACAAGTCATTTTAACACATGCCTTCTCTCGGTATGTGCGGGTATACATGAATTGATCATTTGATTTCAATTTAAACTATGCGTGTATGAGCATTTGAGTGTTTCGTATTAAACTTATAAAAGGAACGGTTCATCCTTGGAAGATGGAGTTATTGTATATTTTAGATCCTTCTTATTTCAGCTCCTTACATTAAGTTAACGAACAGATAAATTTATTTCTAGGGCATGATATTTTAACCAATACTACCTCTACTTCACCGCATTTTTACTACACGAATAACCCATTGAAGTGCATTTGTTTCTTACGACTCAGTACATACCAAAACTTTTAAAATTTTCTTCGTCTTTCTCACAGAAATAAAAATATCTATTGTTATAGAAATACTGGCACCACTGATCTCACCAGGTCTTTCCATTATGGTATGCCAACTGAAACAGAGAAGGTACTGTACCGTCAAGAAATGCATTGAAGTTATGGCGTTGTTAAATAACTACTAGTGTATTTAGATAACCGTCTAAATGTCTTCCGTAGTGTACCAGTTATTCTACCATCTAGCCATCACTAATCATGTTCTCATACTATTTAGACGCCACTAATCAGACTGGCCTATTATTTGCCCGCCACACATCAAGTCCTAGTTGTTCAATTCTTGATTAAATTTCACCAGTTAATAGTGAAAATAAGAATAACTTCAAAGCAAAACCACTCTCAAAAATATCAATCTAATTAGTTTAAACAACTGTACAGCTCTGCAGTTTTTAAAAATGTTCCAAATTTAGTTTAATTTATATTTGAAAATGTTCACTGGTTAACGCTAATTATCCTTTGAGCAACTGAAGACAAATGCCTTACAATCTAGCCGCTACTGATCACGTTGGCCTATCTGACCGCCACTGATTAAGTTGTCCCACTAAATGACCGAAACTGATCAAGTTGTCCCACTAATTGACCGCCGCCACTAATCGAGGAAGAGAGAGAGCTAGTGTTGTCATCCAGGCGTCGGCGTTGATTTTTAAATGCTTAGATTTCGAGAGTGTTGCAAGGCATTATCACATCCCTTTAAAGTTATATTAGGTCAGAGTACTAATGTTTGATATCAGTGTCCTTGTTGGGTTTGACTTAACCAATAAGTATTGCTGGTAGTTCAAGAACATACTTTTCCAACCTATACTTTGATAAAATCCTGTGTTGATATTAATTTTGATCTATCTTTGACCTTTCCTGCCTACATCTAGTTGGTTAAAAAACACTTTTGTATGTAAACCATTCTAGAATCAGCTGCTATAGTAACCCCCTTTGACGGCCATTAAAAATGTAGACATTATCATAATCTAAACTTAAATTCAATAAAACTGGGCCAAAATACATGAACAAATAAAGACTTACACGGAGGCTTTTGAAATGGACAGGTGAAAAAAGAATAGACGTTCCGGGAAATTAAGCACCTTCTACTTCACCAACGACAACCGCAATGTAAATAATGGTTAATTCAAGGACTTAATATTGTGTTCTCAAACAAGGTATACAACAACGGAACCAAGAGGCAAACTAACGAAAATCAAACACGTTCAGCTTCATATCGCACAAAGAAATAGATCATTTCACTATGACGACCGTAAAATTTTCCCCATATTTTTCGTCAACCTGCCTCCTTAAATAAATTAATTAAAATCACCCTTATCACAGTTTGTTGTAATCGCTTATGTGTAATCTTGTCAGCATTTTTTGTTTTGTTTTGTTTCTTGTTTTGTCTAAATGCATGATAAACTATATAAAAGCATTTACAAATGTATATATTATATGTATATATATATATATATAATTGCTTTTCGTTTTTGTTATTTTCGATGTAATTTATTTATTTATTTGTCTGTTTTCCAAAATGCTTCTACATGAATGTATACATGTTACAGGAAATCTACACCAGAGTTTTAATGGCACTTGTGGATATATCTAAAATCGTATGGCCTAAGGGAAGAACAGGTACGGGTTTAAATAATGCTTGGTTCTGATTACACCATATTACGTCTTTTCGTGATGTAGAATTATCTGCTCAGGTTACGTAAATTTGTTTGTGAGAGTAGGGTGATTAGATGATGACGTAATATTATCTAACTAATTACGTACCTAAAAAGCCAGCTAACAAGAGCAGATAACTGCATTACAACAAAAATCTGTTTCTATATTAAAATGTCTCGATTTGGTCCCTGGAATACAAATTAGTTGGATTTAAATATTTTAACCTATTTTAAATTTGATGTAATAATAAATAATTTGATTCTTACATATGAGTGTCTTCTACGATATTTCAAGGCCCGGATTCTAAGAAGATATTGGAAGGTTTGGTACGAGTATTACTGTTTACAAAAACTGATAAATGTGTAATCACAAATGCTAATGTTAATGTAGATAATCAGTTAAAGTATATATTGGATTATGATTATGTTGACATGCTGGTCTTTTCTGGATGTTTGTTGTGTATATATCCAGTTTTATCAATACTTTTCACAAGTATGTTTTCATTGTTGACTGATAGGTCACGATATAGATGCCGTTGCTAGGCAGTATCTTTGGGAAATCGGATTAGACTTCTCTCACGAGAGTGGGCATTCAATAGGGGCATATGGAGGTGTGACAGAAGGTAATGCTACAATCAGTGATAAACTGTATTCATATTTTTAATCCAGACCTGCACTTAGATGTTGCCACATACATAAATAATTTTCTGCTGTCAAAGATAATCAATGATAATTTATCCACATAGGTTATTATAACGAGTACATTTCTTCAAATTATTAATTACTATTGCAAATGCAGGGCAGTGAAATTAGAACTCTTCTAGATTTATAACTCAAACGTAGAAAGTTACTTAAATAATTGCTTAATTCATTTAGAAGATCTACTGACTAATCATGATCAACGGTCCTTAAAATTTGAGTTGATATCGATTCAGAAGTTGATTATCGACAAATTGGTTCAATCTGTATGTTTAAGGTCCTGCAAAAATATCCTCTACAATGTCAACATTTCTTTCGGATGTTCCTCTTCACGCCTCTATCTTTACGCCAGGTAAGTGGTTCAGGTTTATGCGCCAGGTATTAATCCATATTATTTATTTTCACTTGTGTATCCAATTTTTTTTAAATGTTCTTCCAACATTTAATGATGGGAACACAAGAATGATAGTTAAATGTAAACATATAATGATATAAATAATAATGTGAGGCATTATTTCAATATTTTTCTTGACACTCCCATTTAAGAATACTCATTTTGAATACTAATTTCCATCAAATATTTGAGTCAGTGTTCAAACTTTTGTTTCACAGATGAAAATAAATATGATTTTCCTGATCCATCCAATGTACCGTTGGAGGAAAACATGTTCCTAACTTGTGGTATGTGCAATCATTAAAGAATAAAGGTGTCGATGTATCAAGTATTTCCAAATTGTGAAAAGGAAATACTGGTGACGACAATATCGATTGTGAGCATTATTGTGGTTGTGTTGTCACAGCATTGTTTTTGAAGTCTAGATTCACGAGATTACATTTAACTATGAAGAAACACGACGAAGATCTAGATTTATCTTTATTGTACATATGCATGTATTTTCCTCATGAGTCCTCATCTAAATTCAAATTTGGTTTCAACGATCTCAATTCTTGATTATGCTTTTGTCGTTTACAATTACTGTGAAAAGGAAATATTGTCTCTATTGATAGGGTTCCGTTTTCATACAGCAATCGGTTTTGACCGCCAATGAAACGTCCCGAAACTGTTCAATAGAAATTCGCTCATTATAGACCATATAAAATCAACAGTATTCATAATCTGAATGAAATATTTGTAAAGAAAATTTAAACAGGAACAATAATTTCAGATTTTGAAAATTCGTGTTGGTAAATAACAAGAAAAATACCATAACAGTTTAAATTCGGTAAAATCGCCACGGATATAGGAGAGTTTTAATTTTATCTATTTATTATTTCAGAGCCGGGTTTTTACCAAGTTGGTAAGATCGGAATTAGATTAGAGAATGTCAATAGAGTGAAGCTTGTACGCGGTTTGAAGGTAATTTAAAAAGTAATATCGTACGGTTACTTATGTTTCTGATCCAATGATCATTGTGCGTGCTTTGATTGATTATGGTTCGTTTTCTTGGTTTCATGTACAATTGTCAGAGAAATTGGCATAAATGAGTGCAAAAAAGGAAATTTATTGATGTTTATAGCAATAAATCTCTATAATTTATCTAAGGAATGTGTATCGCATAGATATAAGTTTGTTTGGGCCGGAAATTCATAAAAGAACACCATCACATTGGCGACACACAACATACATATGTATAACCGAATAAGAATTCAAATTAGCTCGTTATCTAGATATGTCTGTTGCTTCTTTCAATAGATTTTGCGACTTTTTACATTTTGTGGAAGCAGCTCAATCGGTAAATGGTTACGTTGCATGAACGAATCTCTGGTGTACTAATATTCCTAGCAGCCTTATCAATATCGCATTTTCCTTTACATGACAAATCTGGACCAGGTAAACAATATAAACATGTTTCACATTTCAGTTTCAGAACTCAACCTACTGTCAGTTTCTAGGATTTGAACCGTTAACTCTGATTCCTTTCGAACCTAATCTAATTTTATACGACATGCTGAGTTTACCTCAGGTAAGTTATTTAGATTATTTTTCTGTAGGTGCAATCATTGCACATGTAAGATAAAGTGTTAACACGTCCTATACAAATTGGTTTTGTTAAAAGCAGTTTTCTATTTTTGGAAAGCCTGTAGTGTTTGGAAAAATTAGGAAAATCACAATATATTTGTTCACTTTTCTTTTTTTCTTTTATGTTATGTCTTCATATATAATTTTTTATGATCACAGATACAATGGATAAATGCTTATCATCAAACGGTACTAGAGAGAGTTACTCCTATCTTGAAAGAATTCAAAGATGAAGATGCTATCACTTGGCTTCAAGAAAGGACAAAGCCAATAAAAAGAGGATCATGATTTTATCGAAATATCACCTCTGGTTTATTATGAACAAATGATATTCCCGTATCATATCTTTGTCATATGTAAGAAATGTATGCAAGTTTTCAAACAACCTATTTTTTGTAAATGAAGAAAAACTATTCGTTCTTGTAAAATGCGACTTAAAGCGACTGTACAAGAAATTTTAAGGTAGATCAGAATGGAGACGGACACTGAAGGCCACTTTTCATTTGCTGAACATGTTTACCTTTACGATAGTTAAAAACATACACGAACATATATGCAGTGATCTTGTACAAAATAGGTCTGAATTGATATAAATCTGCCTGTATCTTTTTTTTAAATACCCTGTGATAAGTTATCGTATCAATTTCATTTCATATCTCTGTTTATTACAATGTTTTCAGCATTCATTTGTATTATCTGGAGAATACAGAAAGTTGTAAGAACATCTATTTGATTGTTTCTGTAATAAAGTATGTATGAATAAATAATGATGTCAATATATGGATCTGCAGCGGAGATATTCACTCAAAGGAAAGAAAAACTGAAGACCTTGGTTTGGATGGTTCTGAAAGACGGATCGATACACATCAAGAAAATACCAACATATAAACATAACCATAATTCAAATTCAAATTCCATAAAATTAGGGCAACATACGGACGCTCCTGAAAAAAAAGTACAAAAAGATTAAGATTAGGTGTTCCGGAAGAGTAAGTGTCCTTTGTTTCATTGACGACATCCACCAGTTTAACCTTTAGGTGACATGTTGTGTCATGTTCTCATATGAGAACAAAGCTTACAATAACGGGAGCTAAAAGCAAACTAACAAACAACGAACATGTCCAGCTTCAAATCGCACAAAGAAATGGAATATTTCTCAATGAGAACAATATGGTCACCTTAAAACTTCCCTTTAATTCTCATCAACCTGCATCATTCGAAATTCTGTGTTAAGAGTTTGTCTGTCAGCTGATGAGCTCTTGCACGAGAATCGTGATAATGGGAACAGACCCTCGAATATTGAATTAACTGCGACATGTTAACACCTTAGGTTGGGGATGCAGGATGTATATCATACTGATGTGTGAAAATATGTCCATGTTGCTATCGTGATAGGAAACAATCGAAATAAGTGACTGATATAGAAGACCCTGTCTCCTCCTTGATTTCCGATTCTGGTTGGTATGTACGGTGGACGTATTTAATAAATATCTTGCCATATAATGAAAAGATGTCAGGAATACGTGAATTTAAAGACTTTTGCAAGGCTTTCGTAACCCGGTTTGATAAACTTTAGATTAGGTCAGCCCCTTATGAAAACAAACACAAGTCTGCCCACAAAGAGGCACTGTTTGTTCCCGTAGGTTATCCAGTGATCGTTGGAAGATCTTACCGGAAAACTTGATCATTTCTTATTGTGTCGTATTCCAAATATTTATTCTTTCATATGGATGTATTTTCTTCACGAAATACTCTTCAGTGTAGTTCACAACCACGTATTTATGCCGCCGTTCGATATCTTGAAAAAGGAAGTTCCCGTAGCAAGAGAAATAAGGCGTTCTTTCAGTTAGGAATTGGGTGTGGTGGTTACATTGTTTAAAAATGATTATTTAGGAGAGGGTGTTGAAAATTTGTAAAAAGTGTTTTGAAGTTCTTTAAGATCCACATACTGTTAAGTTCACTTCTTCAGTATGCAATACCACAATTAGACTATACCCCGGAATTGCTAGTAATAAGAAAGACAGTTAAAAGTTTGGACTAAAGTTTAGTTGAAGAGCTAAACGAGCCAGCAGTAAAACGCTGTTTATATGTATTCTTGTGAAGTTTAGGTATACGATATAAACAGGGAGGTCTGTTCTCTTAGCATTAATAGGCAATCTAAATTATTGTAATACTAAAGCATGATTAGCCAGTTTTCTTCTGGAAGATTTCATAATGTGTATGTGGTGTCTCAGTCGTTATTAAAAAGTCTAGATGTTATTTATTTACAGGAAATGTAATAATGTTTGCAGACAAGTATAAAGTTATTGGACGCCTTATCTGCAGATTCCTGGTGTAAAACATTATTGAATGCAAAATGCATCCACTCCCTCATTTACAAACTCAACATTCAGGAAAGTTGCTGGAGAATCTCGGCTATCCGAAAGGACAGGTTTAAGACCTTGTTTGCGCCACATTGTCAATAATTTGATAAAGTATCAAAGCTGCTTTCGCTAGGACAACCGATCCAGTTTTAGCTTGATCCACTTGAAACTTTCAAAACATGGAGAGAGGAAGCATAACGAATATAATATCATTTCTTGAATAACTTTTATTTAACAGATAATACATGTTCGTCGAAAGAAGCAATAAAAAGGTTGTTTTTTTTTCAATCACATTTTGATGATGAGAGTATGTCCGCCACTTGAAACCAATAATGATCGTTATCTCAATTGTATACAATTTCATTTGCCTGAAATTAATTTTAGTTCAAAATGTTGTTTTTTACAACACTATAAATCTTTGTATCATATTATAATTATCAATATTATAATAAAATACTTGTGGTATTGGGATGCATTAACACAATGGTTTGTTCATAGAAACTTTTCTTCAAATATGTTTTGTAGTATTATATTTGTAACATTTTAATTATAAAAATAAGAAATGATCAATGATTCAAAATGATAAAATGCAAAACGATGAAATGTTGAGTATACAAAATTATAAAATTAGAAGAAAAAATATTTCAGTACTTGACATTCTTTCTTGGAATTTCTCCTTTAGAACATTGCGGTCAACGAAATAGCTCCTTTGATTTCCTTAAGGAGTTGTGATGATAAAATAGTTTTATATCTAATATGTATTTTGATATTTTGTATATATTTGTCGTATATTCCTCGCTAGTAAATGGAACTGGAACTTCACTTTTCTCCCAATACGTGACATTTAGCGTTTTTGGGAGGAGGAGGTGACTTGTACAACTTAAGTCTGTGTAACAGGTTCACAAACATTGCAATGTCAAGCATGCCATCATCGTCCGAAGCTGTTTTCATGAAAAAGTCTATTTCTTTTTCCTCTAAATTCCTTCCGGTTCCTGTTTTCATTCGCTGCAATCCCTTTCTCGCCTCTTCCGGGTCTAGTTTTCCACTCCCGTCCGTGTCTAGGTCATGAAAACACTTTACAGCTTCAGCAGCACTGAAAAAATGGTAAAAGATCACATATCAGCTAGGAGATGTATAAACATCAATTCAGTTTATCATAAATTGTAGAAAAAAAAGTCACAGTCCCATTACCACGGTACCAGATGATCAATGTAATGATGAGACTGTAACTAAAGCTCTTGTGTTGTGCCATCACAACGTTCTTGGTAGATATTTCTAAATTGACCAAGCAAATAGAATGAGTTTATTTGCTCAATGTAATTTGATACCTAATAAATATTTTCTGAAATATATATACATTGATTGTGTCAGTTTATGCAATAACCAAAGGGTCAGATGCAATTGTATCAGCTGTATTTACATTCATATCACATTTGATATGAAGATTTCACTGAAAAGACGCCAAAGGTGTAACATTTTTATTGTTTATCCCACAATGTTTATGCGGTTGCACGCACCTCGTCGCGAGAGGAAATTTACAAAATGTCATATAGTACTCTTATATTTACAACTTACTTGCTGCCAGCCGTCTCGTAGAACTGTTGAAACTCCCATATGCTCATGATTTTATTTTTGTCCTTGTCAAATGAATCAAACATTATTTGGGCCTCATCTGCAGAAAGATTGAACTCTGTCTGCAACATCTCTATTGCTTCTTTCTCACCCAATCGTTTGGCAGGACCATGGACATAGCGGTCAAATACGGCTTGTACTTCTTTCCTGTCAAAACCAATGATAAACATTCATGCTACAGAAACGAGCCGATTACTTGTAAAATCCCTAGTTAAAAATCAGCAAAACGTACATTCAAATTGCAAACAATTAAAATTACAAATGAAGATGCTAAGTACATGTATATTTCATATATTACCAGGATATAAGCATGGTGTATATAAAAAACATATTCAAATTCCCTGATTATGTTAAATAACTCATATTCTTGGACGTATAATCGAATTCCTGCACAAAATAGCTGGTAAACAAGACATACTGCGTAAAAAGCATGTCATATGGCAATCATCCATGGTTTCTACTCAAGTTTAATATAAGATATCTAAGTAACCTGGAGGTTTTATCGACAAGGAAAATCATATCATCGGGTGATGAATCACATATCAAGCGTTTTGGCGGGGTTTTCATCAGAATTATTATCAGATATCCTAATGGTCTGAATCAATTTGTAACAGTAACTGTATCGTGTTTTCTAAGGAAGTAAAGTCAGTGTGTTGGAAAGGGAAAACGATAATACAACGTACACGGATAACGTAAACTGTGCCGAACTCATGTATTTAAATAATCTACAAATCAAAAACAAATGAAGAAAGCAAGAAAGAAGAACGAAAGAAAGAAAGAACAGCAGTGATGATAGTGAGATAACAGATGAAAACTCAGTAATCTCAATAACCGCTAATTATTCTAATTTCTTCAAGTGTATAACATTCTTTATCATGTCGAAGTCTTCTAATTAATATATTCAGTGGTTAAGAATCTTTCTGTAAATATAATTTCCAGAATATCAGTATTATATGGCCATTGTTTATCTTTGTTGGGGATTTTATGTACAGTGCCATTTGAATATATAAAGATCCATCCATGGTCTATATAATCTCAACTCAAACAAAGGAAACTATGGCGTCTTTCAATTGCCTTTCGAGCATTTTCAATAAAGTATCTCTAATCCAAAAATATAGCAACACGACAGATCCGAAAAGTATTACACTACTAGCCCAGTGTCTTACTTCCGCCAACAGTGGCCTAACCTTATTCCATGGATTACACATAATTGTTAACCCACATGCACGAACGTAGTCCCTAATGAGCCATGACTTGTACCAATTTACCGTGAAATATGGAAAGTATGTACTCAGAATATAATTGTTACACTGCTTCAAAACAACTTACAAAACAGCACAACAAAAAATAAAAGAAATTTTGATGGCGTACACATTAATGATTTTGAGGATGGTTTCTTAATGAATAAATTTATGAATGTTTGATCACGTGCGTATTCAGCGGGATTGCACATAACAAAAAATGAATCCCGCACACGAATCCTTTAGAATGAGAATGCAATACTTGCCAAAACAGGGTCGGCTTTAAACCATAAAAGATAAATAGTTCTGCTTGATATTAAAAATGATTGTCTGCCTGTTGTCTCATTTCTAAATGGCATTCTATCATAAATGTGTAAAAGGTTTAATTTCATACATACTTTATTTCTGATCTTTTACTCAACGAACGGTATCAAATGCAAGCATTACTGAGAGTGATGATAACCATGCTTGATACTTGCCAAAATCTGTTGGCAGAAACCCTGGCATCGTTTTTGCTACATTTGAGCGAACGCTAGTGCAGACTAGACATCAGCAACTGACCTTTTACCTTACCACACGAGCTCTGATTTTAATGCTTTAGATATAAAAAAAAGAAACTGCAACTTTGTTATCGTGAGTGCAACCTGACTCAGCGATGCTTTTGGGGGGCGTTGGCGAATTCAGAATAGAAATCGTAGAAGATTTCGTAGTTTGGAGAGTTGTTGATTATAAAGCAACATAAGTGGTACACATGATAGAAAACTGATTAGTTAAGAATCTCCAGCAATGAGGCGCGATTATGTCATTACTGTCTGGCGAGTCGATCACGATAGACCAGAGCCAGTGTTTACGTGATTACTATAGCAGTAGTCCGTACACATAACTTACCGATATGTACTCTCACGTTTTTTAAATGAATGCAAAGGCGTTCTTTCGTTGTATATATGAAACGATTATTTGATTATTTACATATGTTTATCAATAGATTACTAAAAACATCAAAGTTGTTATTTCCAGTATTTCTCCGATCTTGGTACTACATTTTTACAGATTATAATAAATCTAAATATACATTCCTTAACATTTTACGCTGTGCTCCGATGTATTGTTATCTGAATTCAATGGCAGAACAATATTTACTTTTTTTATTGTTTGATAGTTATTGTTTTTATACAATATATTTAAGTTAACCTATATGAATGATATTTACAAGATATAAAGCAAAAGAACCCATTATTTTGATAAATGCTAATACCCTTACAGCGTTATATATTTAGACGATATATAAAACAATATTTTAGTTATTCATGAATAAATATTTGTTTTACAGACCAAGTACAGTATAACACTGTGTTAAGTACTTACGGAATCTTCCTCCTGGCCATTTTTAACTGGAATGCCTGTTACCTGAAAGAGAGAGACAAGATAAGTACTTTGTGGTACGGTGTACAGTGTCTACTTTGTTGTCTGCTTTAAGATTTCCACTGAGTAGGAAGAGAACTCAGCTGTTTTTCATTATGCTGAGAATTTAACAAGCAGCAGTTTTACAAACAAGAGCCATGGCTGTTGGGTTGGTTATATAAAGACGACACGTATTTATTGTTTTTAAAGCTTATATAGATTTCATTTCACTAATATAACAAGTTTTACTATTTTCATTAATGACAATATATTAATAGCAGTAGAGATGAACAACAATGATTACTATTAGCCAATATTACAGTGCCTATTTACTCGTATTGATTACAATAATCGCTGATGTTAAGCATTAAGTAGTAAGAATATGTATCAATATTATTAAGAATGGGTTAATAATTCAGTACGTACTGATACTGTTTAGGTGGTACTTTTGGATTTCTTGAAATAAACTCTTCAAGAGAAGAACCTTTTGTACAACAATAACCTATTGTATAAACAAGTTGTTTACATGTTGTTGTTGTTGACATAACGATTTGGTATTGTTTCGTTGTTCCTGTTTAAATTGTTCCAATGTTCAATGAAGATACGATGTTCCCTTCCAAGAAGACACGGTAGGAACAACGTTGTTGATATTGTCTATTGTAAAAGTATTATCATCTAATTTTTTGTTCAGTTACAAAATGTACATATAGTAAAACCGAATCTGTTCTATATAAAATCTTACAAAGTTTCAGTTTCGATCATTAACAAAAAATATTGAAATACGTTTTAGATACATATGTAAGGTTTAATTTAACTGACTTTATATAATAGTGAGTTGTGTTAATCTAGGCGTAAGTGTATATTATTATATATGTAGCCGTTAATAAGGCTACTACATTAAGAAGATTTTGGTATGATACCGTTACTAAGACAACTTTTTTTGAGAAGATTGTGGTATGTATACCGGAATGAGAATACGTCGTATAAAACATCAATGTTTAGGTACTGTACATACGTCTTCACCTAAAACAGCTGTTTTCATGAATCACCGAAGAAAAACGAGTTCCTAGAGTGTGATTACGCTGTAGACTACTGTGGAAGTCATTACATTTTGTCTTTGCTTAACAATGTAGTCATGTTCTCAAAAATAACACGCGCGTTTGTTTCAAACGAGATGGATTGGTGGGAGGAGCCTCATTGCTTCATCCTAACATCAACTGTACCAACAAACATGATGCATTGATAGGGTCAACTATCCTCAAGATGTTTATCATGGTTTGAGCTTCTAAGCCACAAAGTTATAGGACTTGTGATGTTACTGTTTTTTAAACAAAGAATGTATAACTCATCCATACGGAATGTAGGTGTATACAACTGTACAAATGTATATGTAGATTATTCACTACATATCGTTACTTGTGGATTTTTTCATTATTATTCTTTTATAATGTACCAATACAAAGAGACACATAACACTAACTTTTTACTTTTACTTGTTAATCTATGTTACTGATGCTTTAACAGTGTATGCTTAATCTTTTGTAAGTTTGGGTGATGAAACTTATGTTGATTTTATTTTCTTTGTAGATTTCAGAACAACTAACGTTTCTCCGTCTCTGACTAAATACATTTATTTATGTCAACTGAATATCACTGGATGAGTACGAGAGAGGACAATTGTCTGGGAGTTGCACCAATTATGCTCCTGGCATGATACCGGAATCTATGCTCGATTTTATCTGTTAGAACTCAGTCTGTACTTCCGGTAGCTGCATGTGTAAATGTCAGTTTCAGTACGGTAAAACATGTCATTAACCCTCCCGCACTGCCAACAACGAGAAAGAATTGGCCAGCTATGTTGTACGTTCGTGCGGGTGAGGGAGCTGTACACTTGTAAAATCCGATAGATGTCACAAATTGTAATATTTTCTGTACACAAGTATGTAACGAGATGATAAATCAGATCTAATAAAGATGTTCTGTATCTACCGCAGTAATGTAAAATAATACACTACCCAGTGTATCAGCGTGTAGTCGACTTCAACAAAGCAACGCATTCTAGTTTATAGTATTATTCATATAGTGTGAGATCATTTTAGTCATACAATAACCAGCGCAGAGTTAAACGACGCTTAAATAGGTAACGATAATAGAATAGTTTAGTGTTTTTGAAAATAAATGCGCCTTGCAACAGTACAAATAATGTTTTTTTAATAGCCTTTCTTATGTAATTCATTTCTGTTTCATAAAATGGTTATTCATGTTTTAAACAATTGATATTACTTTCAAATTTAACTAAATTAATATTCTGGCATTTTGTTCACGAAAACAACGCAGAAATTTTTAAAACACCTGCATTATTTAATCTTATCTCTCTTGATGAAAAAATGTATACCTACAAAATAGAATTTTTTTTCCGTAATCTTGCTTTATTGTGGAGGAAATATTATAAGTCAACGCTTACCCTACACTTAACAGATGGCCTGTATTTTCAAGATCTGTTATCTAAACCTGAAGATCGGTTTTATTTATCGAACACGAAAGGATATTCAGTATTATAAACTAATCAAAGTCTTTAAAACAAACAGTTATAAGGAACAATGATCTGAATAACAACATACCTTGTAAATTTAAGTCAAATTCATCTATAACGATAAGAATATAAAACAAAACTCACCTTTTCCCCGGTAAGTACTTTCCTGATACAATGTAGAGAAATGAGAGCTTGCGGGTATACTTATACAAGGCAACCGCTCCCTCTACCGCAGTTCCGCCTTGTTTATCATCAAAGTATACACGCATCATCACTTGACTCAGACGGGAGCCTGATAGATGTGCAGTTATCTCTGGAACAAACAATCACTTACTCACAAACGGGAGAAAATTCTCGAGGCATGCAAAAAAAATCATACTAATATGCTTATGGAGTTCGCATTTTCAGAGGAAGCAATCTAAATCGGAAATACCATTAATTTTTAATTGAAGAGTGTTTCTTTTTTAAGTATTTTGCAATAAGATCATATGTGCACAAATCGGTTTCTGATTATGACTGAAAGAATTTTGTCTGGCTTTAGGAATGTGATACCCCGGCACGCGTAGGGCACGGGACAGTGCAGTACTTGTTATCGTGGGATAAATCCAATGTTTTGGTATCTTTCGAATCTTCCGAATAAGATACCAGACAGCTTATTTATCGCCCTGAAGGGTTGCGTCTATCTATAACATAAACCTAGGCAGTGTAGATCGTGTTTAACAAGAAGTATTTTCTAGCATGTTCCATCTACACAGCTGGTTTTCATGTTTATATGAGCCAAGGAAACCGAAACACGATAAAATTTATTTGCGAGGAATAGCAAAATAAAACGTACAAAAAGCACGAAAGACTGGTAATTTACACTGATGTTCAGCACACTAACGGTTCTTCTGATAAGGACGCTGCAACAACAGCGACATAGTCGCCTTTCTGTCAATCTGCATCGATACTCCTCACCATCGAAACCGAACAAAGTTTGATTAGAAAATGAAAGCTATTGTCGTAATTGAGTATAAGTTATTTAAACACAAAAAAATTTATTAAAAAACAAAGACGATTTTTCGGTTTCAATTTTAATTTTCCTGCGATAAATTTTGGAACAATAAAATACCTATTACTATTTTTAACATTTGGTCCTGAAAGTGATTACGACATCAACTGATTAGTATGGTGTACTATCTGATATGTCCATATATCTGCATGTAACTAACATTTTGTATTTGTGTGTGTGTGTGGGTGGGTTACTCCACATTCAAATAGTAATTACGCCATTTAAAGTTCCATATGTTTACGTAACAAATATTACCGTTTACAAGAATACGGATAATGTAGATAGTAATAAATAGTTTATGATCGTAGTTTGATCCAAACGTCACAAAGAAAGCTGAGAATGCTTGGGGCTTTCGCTGGTTCTTTTGATTGCAGCTGTGAGCATTCATCCTTTTATCTGAAATAATTTTGTTATCACAAACTGTCATCATATCAGCATGTTTATGTAAATTGTTGAAATCATAGAAGACAGACCATCGGCTATGTTTAAACAATTTGTTTTATAGTGCATCAGTAATACCAATAGTCCTATGGGTAAAATACCAAACCATGACAGGTAATGACAGGCGTACCATTACTCTGACAAAGGTATTAGGTATCAACGATTAATTTTGAGTCCGCTGACCACAAAACTCTTTCGTTGTATCCAAAAGTCCTAGTTCCAAATTTCCCATGTACCCCTGACCTGTCTCTGGCAGGAAATTCGCTTTCCGGAAATCCTTTTTCCCGATTTTGTTTTAACCAAAATCTTATTTCGTTTCTTGAAGTCTTCTTTCGCATTTCAATTTCCAAGCAGCCATATAGATCTTACAATACAGGCTGTGACAGAACCCAGCAGGTAGCTGTAACACAGATAACGCTTTTTCATCATAGTACAAATATTTTGATTTCAGAAATCTGTAATCTTCTTAACACGTGCACAAAACATTACGTACAAGTCAATACAATGCATGCTGTGCAAATTAAGTACACGTGTACTCTGATTAGCTATGTCTTAATTTCTCTCACGTGCACCTGCTTATCTATAAAGCACCACGGCTCATTTTAGTATAGAGCTTGTCTTTACTCACATTCCAGTTATTTGCAATCTGGGAGGATCATGAACAGGTAACTGGTCCGACAAAAATAAGCTAGGTCACTGTGGACAGAGTCTTTATTGCTGACTTTTTGACAACGCGGTTAGCTGGTCCCGAGAGGATCACAGAATTTCCAGTACTTACATTGTGACTTTCATCATAGAAGCAAAAGACACCTACCCTTCAGGTACAACTGATCTTATTCTCCTTCTACTTCGGTGGTCTTCGTGTAAATCTTAAGTTACTGATAGTTTCACATGATTTCAGTTAGAACTAGAAATTGTTGGCCAATAATTTGACGAACTTTTCATCTATACACACCACCTTACCTAGGGGTCAATCGTTTCCATAAACATGATAACTAACCATTTAAACAATATATATTTTACATATCTTGATTCTAGACCTAACAGCTACAGATTATTTATTTGTGTTACCGGAAAAAAGAACTTTCTACATGTGACTCCTTCGTTAAACCGAAAATTGTCATTTGACAAAATAGTTTCTTATTACTATCAATTGCGATTAAATGCAATGTGCATTAACCAAACATCATCACTCTGTACGTCTCGCCTACTAAAAATAAAGATTTTAACAAAACTGACTCCTGAGACCTGGGTCAAGGTCATTCATAATATCAAAGTTGATAGCAAACAGCTGGGACATCAAACATGTGGAAAATCAAGGCTGTGGAACGTTTTCAAAGTCTGTTACCCAAAATAGGAATTTTTAAATTAGACCTTTATCGAGGATTGGAAGTGCACTTATCAGATTATTACATTCAATAGCAATTGATCACAGTATGCTACTGACAAAACTTCATCACCGTGTACCTTTTGGGGTATTGAGAAAATACTATTTAAGAATAATTGAATACTGTGACCTTGGAAGTTGGTCAAGGTCATTTGTATTATCAAAATTGATAGCCAATGACCAGAGTCTCCAAAATATGAAATATCAAACTCTAGACCTTCTGAAATTTGAGTACTTGTCAAACTTTGCGACACAAAATATTAAATTGTAACTTTGACTCATATCGACAACCGGAAGTTGAATTTTCAGCCTAGGTTTTGTAAATACATTCCATAGCAATTGATCAAATTTCATCATCATGTGCTTCTTAGATATTGACAAAATGTTATTGAAAAATGTTGACATAATTGACCTCTGTGACCTAAAATTTCGGTCAAGGTTATTTACATTATCAAACTTGACAGGCAAAGTCCTGAACATCTGAAATGTGAAATACTCTGTAGAATTTGAGAATAATTTTTTTTAAAGTTTGTTACAGAAAATTTCCAATTTGAATTTTGACCCCTACCTAAAACCGAAAGTTAACATTTTAAAATGAAATGTCATTTATTTGTTATTTTACATACAATATCCAAAGATTAATTAATTACATTCAGTCGTTAATGAGACACTGCAATTCAAAGAAAATCGGATATGACGTCCTGGGGCCACTTTGTTTTCCTGATGAAGTTAAAAATGTCACTTACTTGTAGACGACATTGGGGAAACATTGTCACTAACAATTTAGTGAAATATAAGAACCTGATATAGGTCTAAAACAAGTTTTACTAATTTATCGGCATTTAAGAAGATCAAAGGAAATTTTCAAAATGGCGTCCAATGTAAACGACAAATGTTAGATAAATAATGAAGACACCAGATTTACCGGATTATTTAAACGATCTCTTGCCACCTATTGTTGCAGATAATAACCGATACAATCTTAGAAATAACAATGATTATAGAGGTCCTCTATTTGGGCTTTCTCTTACAAACCTCTCTTTTATACCTTCTACACTTCGTATCTGGAATTTGTTAGATTTCTCTGTACGGTCACTGCCTTCTATAAATTTGTTTAAAACCTCACTTACTTTAAATACACAACAATCCCCACCTATCTATTTTAGTTATGGTGAACGGAAGTTAAACATAATACATACTAAACTTAGACACAGTTGTAGTTTTCTTAAATACGATCTTTATCGCGAAAATCTTGCTGAAAATCCAGTTTGCTCCTGTGGACATCCTTGTGAGAATGCCTTTCGCTTCTTCTTCGAGTGTCAAACTTTCAGAAATGAAAGACACACTTTGTTTCAAAATCTGGCTGAGTTAGAAGTAGATTTGAATTTAGAGCTTCTTTTATTTGGTAATATTGATCTTTCTGAGGACCTAAACTATTTTGTCTTTACACATGTGCAAAATTGCATTAAATCCAGCAAAAGGTTTTAAAAGATTCTTATACGATGATGTATTTATGTCTGTGTGTGAATGCTTGATATGTATAATTTATGTTTTAGCCTATCTCTTTATAAACATGTATTTGAAAATGTATGTTGGGAGAGGGCTCCAATAAGTTGTAATAACTTGTGCCCAATTCCCTTGTTCAAATTTATTTTGGCAATAAAATATGTTTAAACTTAACTTTTAAACTACCGGAATGACATTCTGTATCGATCTGTAATCAAATTCAAAAGAAACAAAAAAAATGAAGAAAAAACTCAAATTTATGACCTTTGACATATTTTGTAATGAAATGTAAAGGGTATAAATTTAGATATTGGAATTGTCTACAAATACTATAATTGCAAAAATGGCGGCCATATTGGATTTATGGCCAACTTAGAAATGTTACACGTGTATCTTCAGATAAGTACCTACAAAATAATAAATAGATTGTAAACCTATCTCTTACCGATCAAGAGATGTAGACTTCACAAAATCCGGAAGAAGAAAATCAGTAATGATAATAAAAACGTAACAAGATGTCTGTTCTCCATCAGATGAAAAGTCCTAATTAGAGTTACGTTGACAGGTCGGTATTTTATTTGTGTTTTTGACATTGCGTTTAATCTTACTTACAGGGGCTGGCAGTACACAGAGTGTATATCGTGTTTGAAGATCTGACTGTGTTTATCTGGGCTTGAGGGACATGCCATGATCAATGTGTGTGTTTGATATATTGAGGCTGCCGCGGATGGTTACCCAGCCTGTAGAGGGTCGCCATGGACAGGGTATTTATATAATCTTTATCATGGATTCTATCTAACGTGGACTTAGAGATAATCTTAAATGATAGGATGATGCAGCGCGTTGTGGACAGGAAGTTATCATATCTAGAT